CCGATTAGACTAGTTCGACCTATATACGTCTATATTAGAGGCTTTAAACCCTAGTTAGCGAAGGGCGTTCGTCGAGATTTAGGCTAGTATCGAGTAGAAGGCAGAGTAGTCGTTATTCCTTCGCTTCTTAAATAGGTTTAGTAGTACTAGGAAGACGTTTATATATAAGACCTTAGCTACGGCGTTTCGCGCGGAAGGGAAGATTGTACTTTATATAGCTTCTACCGGGATTGTAGCCCTACTACTGCTAGGCGGTACGATAGCGTACTATCGCTTTAAGATCCCTATCGATAGTATCGAAAATTTACGGTCGATACTAAAGAAAGGCACCTTCGAAATAGATATAATTAAAGACGCTACATTAATTATCTAGGACGAGGCGCTATCGTAGCGGCGCTTCGACTTTATAGTCGTCTACTACTTCCTATACGATTTTAGAGAAATACTTAGGAAGAAAACGCCGCCGTAGTTCGGTAGTGTCCCGGTTGTATTTAGTAGAGATTTCGCGTAGTATTTGCTCTTCGATATAACTTCTAAGGGCGACGAGGTCGCGGCGGTAGCGGCAGCTACGTAGCTATATATTACCGCCGCGCTATTCTAGACGGACGTTAGGGTACTATAGTTAACGAAAAATATACGACTACGAGCGGAGTCCGAAGCGTCGGCAGCGATAAAGTACTTGCGATAGCTCCTCCGCCTAGCATATAATCCGCTATACGCTAATTGCCCGATACGCCTGCCTCCGTACTTAAAGAGGGTTCTAAATATTAACTAGCTAGTAAAGGCCGTCTACCCTTAGGAATTAATAAAGGCTTCGTACGTCGATCGAACTACGCTACGTAGGCGCGTGCTCCTTACCGTATATAACGATATAGCGGATTAGATTAACGACTTCTATAACGGTATGTTTAGGAGCGGAGAGGCGCGTAAGTATTACTCTAAAGACTACGTCGATTAGGCAGCGTCTAAAGCGCTCGAATAGTCGGGAGTCGAGGAGAGTATATCTACTATAACATCCCTACTCCGGCTACTTAGTCTACTACCGGCCCTCTTACGCTTAAAAGTCGGAACGCTAGTAACTATTATAAGAAACCTAATCCTATATAAGGGTATCTATAACGGAACGCGTATAGTAGTAACGTCGCTCTACGACTATAATATCGCAGTATATAAGCTTAACGACGAGTATAACGACGCCGAGTACCTTATCCTACAGATTAAATTAATCGAGAGTAGAAGGTATCTATAGGCGATCTCTAGGCGCTAATTTCCGTTAAAGGTCTACTACGCGATAACGATTAACAAAGCGTAGGGTTAAACCCTCGACAATGTCGGTATAGACCTTCGGGCGTTACCCTTCTCGTACGGACAGCTATACGTAGCGATATCGTACGTAACAGATATTCGAAACCTATTCGTACTAGTAGATAAGGAGTAGTACTATTCGATAGACCCGTAGTATAAAGGCAGTCGTTACGTAGCGGCGTAAGAGTACGGACCTATTAGGAAGAATAATAGGGGCGAAGACGTATATAGCGACGACTACTAGTTTAGGATTCCGGATCTAGTACTAACTAATCGCCTCTTCTATAAGATATATAACGTCCGTTAGCCCGGTATTAGCATCGCGGTTCCGGCGGAGTTAGTAGAGATCGTAAATCGTATTCTAGACAAAGAGCGAATTTTTACTAGCCTTAGTTTATAAGAGAGCGGTATTAATCCGCTACTCGAAGTTATATAGTATAGGCAAGGATATATCGGCGAAAATACGGATAGCGTAGATAGTAGCGATGCGTCTAAGGATATAAGTTAAAGACTGTTACTATAAAATATATAAGTAGTCTTAGAAAATAGAATAGTTAATCGTACGTAATTATATAGAGAGGAGATTGCTTACTTACTCGCGGTATAAATTACCTTTTACTACCGATATTAGATTTCTACCTTCGCTCCTCCTTCTTCTCCGTACTCTACGTACTATATCTAAATCCTACTCCGCGGCGTCGCTACTATCTTTAATCGACGGCGTAGACTATCCCGGAAATCCTAGAATTCTACCTAGCTTACGATTTACGCTAATCGAGGGTTACGATTACTCGAAAGCGTTCGCCTAAGCTGTTTTAAACGCGTACGAAAGTAGCGAGATCCGGGGTTTATAAGACGTATATAGCGCGTACGCTTAGCGAGTACTTACGGAAGAAGGGCGAGATATAATATTTTAGACTAAATATATCGCGTCGCTTAGAGGAAACACTTAGAACGGCGCCGATATTCGAGTATAAAGGGGCGCTTTTATCTATATTCTTAGGACAGACGCGGACTAGTATACTATCGCCGGCTATATATAGCAGACAGATTGCAACTACTATATATATAGCGGGCATTTCGTAGGCTATAGATATAGCTATACTATTACGAAGAACGGGAACTATGCAAATTGCGTAGCGTTATGTAAACTAAAGCGGTGCTCGTACTACTAGGCGCAATCTAAAGAAAGTAAGCCTATAGTAGACTATTCTAACCTATAGTTGCTATACTAATATATATAGGATCTCTAATACGTAGGAAACGATAGAGATCGGATAGCGAGGAGCGTAAGGGGATAGCAGGGCGGTAGTAAGGAAATAATTCTATTATTCTTAACCCGAAATGCCCTATTCCTATCGAGAATAAGCTCCCTACGCTCGGTCTATTTATACGGGATATTATTCCCGCGTCTTAAAATAGCTACAATTCTAAAGAAATCTTTAGATCTATTCGGAAACGGCTTATCGACCTTTACGACTACGTCCTCGATATAGAAATCTATTAGGCGTGCTAGTATACGGGACTGCTACTCGAAGAGGCGCGTAATAGGAGGCGTAAGACTATAGCGACCGCACTATTAAGGATCTTAGCGGTCGAGAATTTCGATATATAGAACGACTAAGATCGAAAGGTCGTATAAGTACTATATAAAGATCTTAACTATATACTCTATAAGTAGAATACTAATAGCGTATACCGAACTATTAGCGCTAATAAAGCGTTAAACGGTCGGTAGAGAGCCTACGAAGAACTATAGAGCTATAACGAAGAAGTGCGATAAGCGCGTAGGTAGGAATAAATTTCTCTATTCGGAAGAAGAGCGATAGACGACTCTAGAGCGCGATTTCGAAAGGCTTAGATAGCGTCGCAAACAAGGCAAGTCGTAGTATAGAATATCTCTAAAAAGGGATTGCGAAAACAACGATAGGCTTATAGAGTAGTAGTAGAGGGGCGAAGAGATTCTTATAAGAGTAGTAGAGTAAGTACGTAGAAGAATAGAGATAGTAAAGTTAAGAAGACTTGAATTTTTATATATATTTCTTAGGCTAGCTCGATGCTATCTACTCTATTTTAGCTCTCTAGTCGCTACCTTAGATACTTAGTAGGTAGCGATAATAGCTACTTCTAGTATATATATTATAGATTAGCGACAAGGTTAGCGTTAATAAAGGAGTAGCGGAGGACGCGTTACTAATAGTCCTCGATCTACGCGAGGTTAAGATATAGTATATCGTAGGCGTATAGCTATTTAGCGATAATAAGCTACTAACGAGTCTATTAGTTAGCTAGACTATAGCCGGGAGTATAGATACTAGTACCTAAGAGGCCGGTCGAGTATAGAGGCAACTAATAGAGAGAGTCGGTAAAGAAGTCGTAAGAGATAATACCTATAAAGTTATATCGAATAGTAGGGTTCTAGTAGCCGGACTAGTAGGTAACGAGGTTTAGGATGTTTTAGTATAAAGTACGGACGTTATTATATATAATATTGACTTTGTTTGTATTATACAATTTGCGTAGTCGAGCCGTAACGTAGAAGTTAACTAGGACTAGTAATAGTTAGCGGACTTTGTTTCTAAAGCGTCGAGCGCTACTAGATATACCTACCCTAGTTCTATAAGCTAGGAACTTATACGAAGGCGATAAACTTAGCGATATAGATAAAACGTAGGAGGCTACGTAGGTACTAGACGCTATTAATAACGTCGATAACGGGACCGTTCGCACTAGAGAAAGTTATATCGTCGGAGCCTAGAGTAATAGGAGATAGGACGTAAGAAGAGCCTAAGCCCTAGTAAGAGCTACTAGGAGTTCTAAGATCGATTATAGCGCCGCGCAAAAGAGAGATAACCGATATATCGACTACGAGAGATTAGCGCTAAATATACGTTATAGGCGTTATCGCTTACCGTTAATTAGTAATACGTTCTACTATAGCGTTACTAGTAGGAGTGTTAATTAAGGTAGGTATATAGAGGTAGAGATAGTACTACGTAGCGTTATTAAAGGCGTAGACGTAGTAGAAGGTTTAATAGTTATTAGCCGATATTAGTCGAATTTTAAGCGATTAGAGCTTGGCGCGCGTAGCGTGACCGGCCTAGCCCGCCGTAATAGGAAATTCGCACCCGCGTAACTCATGCGAAGTGAGGGCCGGCACGCCCGGATTTAATAGTAATAGCCGCGGCGCCTAGAAGTCATAATATTGTGAGGCCCGCCGTCCGCGTCTGCGACGCGGACCAGGGACTAGTTTCTTAGAACATAATACCACCAAAAGTCTGATTTTCCGAGGAACGGAGTGTCTCGCAACCTGCGACCACGACCTCCATTGCATCCCACATCATCCTGGCGACCATGATGGACCAGAGGAACACGGTGAGGTCACCCACCGCCATTTCTCACGCGTCTCGCGTCGTGAAGCAACGCGCCAAATCACGGCAAACCTGGAGCGAGAAGGAGCGTTGCGATGCCTGTCATTCAGAACGAGGAAGACAAGGCTTGTGTGTCGTGAGAAGTCGGGATGGCGTTCGGTGACCATCGGTGGTATTGTTGTCCTTGACAGCCACTTTCGACCAAGATGCGGCCGCTTGCGACTCCGATTGGATCAATGGGACACATCCTTGCATCCAGACCCCTCATTCCCGAGTACAAAAAGTCTTAAGGTTTAAGCTGTTTCTCTTTGGAAAAACCCTGAGTCGATTGTTCCCACCTTTCGCTTTTGTACGTTTCGTTTCGCCTTTCGTCTTGATCTGCACACATCGAGCACTGCCACATCGAATATCGAAACAATACCACGACAGCAATCATGGCTACCAACGGAGTCAATGGAGCACACCTCTCTCTGCCACAGGCCCACCAGGACCTGATGCAGAGATCGCTCGTCGACACCGACCCAGAGATTGCCGACATCATGGCTAAGGAGATCAAGCGTCAACGCGAGTCCATCCTCCTCATCGCCTCCGAGAATGTTACTTCGCGAGCAGTCTTCGATGCTCTGGGCTCACCGATGAGCAACAAGTACTCTGAAGGGTACCCAGGTGCACGCTACTACGGTGGCAACGAGCACATCGACGAGATCGAGCTCACTTGCCAAAAGCGAGCACTCGAGGCATTCCGTCTTGACCCAGCTAAGTGGGGAGTCAATGTTCAATGCCTTTCTGGTTCGCCTGCAAACTTGCAGGTCTACCAGGCGATTATGAGACCACATGAAAGATTGATGGGTCTTGACCTGCCACATGGAGGACATTTGTCCCATGGATACCAGACCCCAACCAAGAAGATCTCTGCCGTCTCTACCTACTTCGAGACCTTCCCATACCGCGTCAACCTCGAGACTGGACTGATCGACTACGATCGATTGGAAGAGAATGCTCTTATGTACAGACCCAAGGTTCTCGTTGCCGGTACATCTGCGTACTGCCGTGAGATCGACTATAAGAGAATGAGGGAGATTGCAGACAAGGTCGGCGCATACTTGATGATGGACATGGCACACATCTCCGGCCTCATTGCCGCAGGCGTCAACAAGTCACCATTCGAGTATGCGGACATTGTAACCACAACCACCCACAAGAGCTTGCGTGGACCACGAGGAGCTATGATCTTCTTCCGAAAAGGTGTTCGCAAGACTGAGATGAAAGCAGGCAAGGAGGTTCAGGTGCTCTACGATTTAGAGGGACCCATCAATTTCTCCGTCTTCCCAGGTCACCAAGGTGGCCCACACAACCACACCATCACTGCGCTTGCTGTTGCTCTCAAGCAAGCCCAGACACCAGAGTTCCGACAGTACCAAGAGCAGGTCATCAAGAACGCCAAGCAGCTTGAGAAGTCATTCAAGGCTCTCGGCTACAGGCTAGTCACTGATGGCACCGACAACCACATGGTCCTCCTCGATCTCAAGCCATTGAACCTCGATGGTGCTCGCGTCGAGGCTGTTCTTGATCAGATCAACATTGCTTGCAACAAGAATACCACGCCCGGCGACAAGTCTGCTCTGACACCTTGCGGTATCCGTATCGGTGCTCCAGCCATGACCAGCAGAGCTATGGGTGAGGCGGATTTTGACAGAATCGCAAAATACATCGACCAAGCAATCAAGCTTGCTCAAAAGGTGCAGGCCGAGCTGCCCAAGGAGGCAAACAAGCAGAAGGACTTCAAGGCCAAGCTTGCTGGTGGAAGAGCGTCAGTTCCAGAAGTCGGTACTCTGAAGGACGAGATTGCTGCGTGGGCCAGTACATTCCCACTGCCGGTATAAAAGATCGATGATGGGGCGGGATGGCGCTGAGACGTGCATTTGCGGGGCGTTCTGGCGCGGGCCAAGGAAAATTTCAACATGGCGAGGTGTTACGGATTAAAATACTCTCACGACTGATACCACACTGCGGCACTTTCAACTAGCTGCGATGGCTCATTTGGAGCGATACGAAATATGTAGGAACTTGGACGAAGTTCGCAAGAATCGGCGATACAAGCCAAGTTTGCTGCCTTGCCGTACCGTGCCTGAGAATTTCTTTGTCGCGATGCGATTGTGAAACAGCTCATGCAGGGTCATGCGTGGCGGGCCTAGCCGATTGCGCCAAGTAAACGTCATTAGCCGCAAGCGACCTTCGCTCTCCCTGCACGCGAGTTGTGCTTGTGCTGCTGCAGTTCCATGACTATCCTCCAACACACCAAGTGTTGACTTCAACACACCAAGTGTTGACTTCTTGAACTCCTTCGCAGCAAAACGCAATCAACAGCGCATCCAAGATGTCGAACGCTCCCACTCTCATCAATCTCCCTCCGCCACCTTCTGAGCCGCTCACGCCCTCGGATGCGCCGTAGGTTGCAAGGAGCGTGATCAATATATTAATGAATGGCTGACTTTACAGCTCGCGCAGCGGCACTCCCAATTCCACTCGCTCGACCACGACATCTATGAGCGAACTCTCCACCGTCGCAATCAAAGACGGTCACCGCGGCCACCTTCCTCACCACCAACACCACCAAGGTCCTTCCGGCCTCTCAAACCAGCTTGACGCCGAACGCGCAGATCGCATTTCTCGCCTTGCTGGTCTCGAACGTGTGACCACAGCCCGCAATCCCCAGACACCAAATAGCGTAGGCAACGTCACTCCCGGCGCATCAGGAGGCCAAGCCGTACCTCCCGCAGTCTCCTACTTCGACAGCACCGGCAATCCTGTTCTCGGCCGCGAACGTAGCACCGTGGGCAGCGCCTCAGCAACGGGCTCTGTCGGCGCACGCACAACCTGGGCCGGCGATAGCGAGGCAGGCGACAATTATGACAAAATGTCCGAATCCCAAGACCAAGATATGGACATGGACAATTCTTCCGTAGGGGGAATGTCCGAGGAAGGTACTCCCTCTCTCGTAGCTTTTGGAGAAGGAGCGAGAACTCCTGCGAGACAGTCTACGATTTCTCCGCCTGGGGTGCAAGCTGCTACTAAAGGGGTGAGAGAGGCTAGGTATATTGATGGTATGACTTATGACCAGGATGTCGTGGATACTACTGCCGATGCCCGCCGGAATACGGCTCGGGCTACGGGAACCGGTGGCACTGACCAGGCTGAGAGGATTATGAGGGAACATATGGATACTACGTCGAATGATCGTATAAGGGAAGGAGCGGGACAAGGACATTTGGGCACGTTCGGGTTTGAGAAGTAGTTGGCCATGGTCCTGCTTCTGCCTGGGATTTGTGTCATGTGATATGATGATTGCTGCTGCTGGACAGCTCTTGGAAGCGAATTTTGCGAGGGCGTTTTTGGGGAAGGGAAAGGAAAATTAAGAAGCCTACTTCTTCACGACGACAAAGAGAAGAGGCGGCTGCTCGATATGCAGTTTTCACAATCAAATGAGTACGGTATGGATGGAATGAGTACGGGACTATGCCTTTTCGAAATGATACCACAAAACAACACTTATGGCTTTGGACAGAAAGAAAGAAACTTATGCTATGCTGCCGTCTAGCTAGCCATGCATGATGATGAAGAAACTTGCATATTGGAACCTCATATCCTCCTCTCCATTCTAACTCTATCCTCATATCTCATCTCATCAATCAATCAATTCCTACTTCCTCAAATCCACAACCTCAAACCCCAACCCGGGCCCCTCGACCACATGTCCCAAACCCCCCAACGCATCCGTATACAAATTCGCTTCCTCATGCGCATGGAAAATCCCCGGCCTCCTACACTCCAAAACGTAAGGTAATCCGGGGGGATCCGTCAAGCGAAAAATTCCCCAATCAGGCACGAATCTCGGGGCACATACGATCGCGATTGCTTCGGGTAACATGACTTGATATCCCGAGCTCGTATGTAAATCTCGAGATGAGAGGAAACAGGATTGACTAGGGTGGGTATGAATCCATCCGCATACCAGCAAGTTTTGGGCTGAGCAGTAGTCGAAGAGAGCGTTGTCGCCGATGTCGGTTGTGTCGCAGGTATCGGATGTGGAGGTTTGGTCTGGGAGGATGAGGTGGGTGATGAAGAGGGCGCCGGAGATGGAGGTTGCGGCTAGGATTCCGCAGGTTTCGAGGTTGCGGGATGTGTTGGGGTGGGCTAGGTTGAGGAATTTTTGGCGGAGGTCCGGGGGTAGGAGGACGGTGCGGAGGGGAGAGCCGGATTCTGTGTAGGCTGTGGGTTTGAAGGTGTATTTTGATGGAGTGGCTTGGTCTCCTGGTGGTGGTGGGGAGGGACTTGCTGAAGCTGGGGTTGAGTATGCGTTGGATTTTGGCGGGCGTGGGGGAGGGGTGTCGAGTTCTGAGGCGGAGTAGTCGTATAGAGACTCTTTTGCTGGGACTTGTGGTGGTGGGAGAGATTGTCGGAATTGGGAGGAGGCTGGGCGGATTGGTTGGGAATCCCATTCCATTCGGGTCTCCTTTTGTGGAACTCTTGGATAGTGGTAGGCGGAATATGTCGACTGTCTCGATCTTGGTGCTTCTCGAGGCGCTTCTCGAGGCCCATGATATGATTGTCGTTGGAGATGTCGAGCAGCCTCACGAACGCCGTCGTTGAACTCTTTTCGATCGTCAAAATAGGAATCTTCCTGCGCGACGAGTCCTTTCCTGCGCTCGGCTACTGTTGCGGGAGAAATTCCAGCTTGCGTTGTCGATTGCCTGGACGCATCACGACGCCTAATCTCTCGCTGTGCCAGGTTGACGGCAAATTCTCGATTCTCATTGGCCTTCAAAGCTTGCATGTAATGCTCGGCGCTGATACTAGCAGCTGAACTCCGGCGAGAGGAAGTATACGAAGCTCGGTCCCGGGCAGCTTGATCGAATTCGTTCTGCACTCGCTGCCTCTCTGCCAATTTTCTCTCCATGGCTTTCGTATATCGATCATGCTCCTGGTTAATGCGAGGCTTCCATTGTTCCAGCTTTACGATATTTCTTTGAAGTGTCTTGCGAGCTTGAGAAAGGTCTTCTTTGAATTTTGGGTCCCTATACTCTGGGTGTTGCGGCAGCCTGCTAAGCACGAGCTCGGCGTGGCGATAAAGATAGAGGTAGGCCATAGCAAGACTGCCTTCTTGTTCGCAAATCGCTGCTTCGGTCAATAGCATTTTCGAAGCTCGAAGCCATTGTTGCAGGGACCTGTTTGTATTGAATTCGAAGTCCTGGGCCTCCTTCACAATTTCCTCCACTGATCGTGGTCTCGTAAGAGCCGCGTGATGTCGCGACAACGCCATTCTGGACAGAAGCAGATATGTGCTCTTGGTGCAGTGCCTCAGATTCGTGGAGTGAAGTGCTGCGAGAGAAGGCGAAGAAGTTCTCTGATCAGGCAATGGACGCTACTTCGCATGTATTCTGGATGGCATGCTGGACATGTTGTGTTTGCCCTGTATTCCCGACGCGTAGTGTCGTTGCAGAACTGTTGGACCAAACTTGGCGGGAGAGGAGAGGATGCTTTGCATCACGCCAGCATGAGTGTGATGAATTGTGCATGTGATGGCGTGCCGCAATTGCTTCGACGAGCCACAAGAAAGAGTGACATGTCGCTGTCGCTGTCGCTGCCGCTGCCGCTGCCTGAGATGCGATGCGCAGAGCCACTAGTGACATGAATGGCTAGAGCTGCGCCACACCGCAGCGCCACAAGCCAAGCCAAAAAACCCTAAAAGCATTCTCCGCCAACTCCATCTTCCCATCAATTTCATTCATTCATCCGTCTTTCGCGCTTGTTACATTTGCCGGCGTTTTTCATGGGAACAAAGGCGATCAAGAAGGTCGTTGATGCCAAGAAGTCACTATCAGAGCGATTATCACATGCTTTCCCAGCGGCAGGAGGAAAGCGTCCTGCTCGCTCCGCAAGGATTTATCGAGCTGATGTAGTGAGTGAAGAGCTTTGCAGTAAGGAGTTGACATGGATCAGGATCAACATGGCATGGCATGGCATGGAGCACTAACCCTTCGTTCAGATGATGTGATCAAATACATTGCTCCTACTTTGGAGCCCTACAAAGGATGTACCATTGTCGACATCAATCCAGGATCTTGCCTCTGGTCTGACAAGCTCCATCAATTCCTCAAACCCAAACGACATATTCTTATGGAACCAGATGAAGAGTATATTGAGCCATTCGTGAGGCCTCTGCTTAACAAGCGTGGCTCAACATATGTGCACACCAACTTAAGTGGCGTCAACTCGCGAGATTACATCCAAAATTGGAACGACATATTCACGAGTGGGAGCTTCATCGGAAGAAATCGACTGGCTCAAAATGATCCCAATCTTCGCCGCGTCGACACATCGCTCTTGATTACTGGCTCTCTCGTACGACGAAACGATCTTTTTTGGGGCGCGAAGGGCTCCCAACTCTCGCTATCAAATGTAACCTGGCTGTCGTTGCAAAATAGAATTTTCCATCAAGCCGGCTTGGTTAGGATGTTGTGGTGGGTGGCAGAGCTGGACAAAATTGCTTTTCTTCCGCACTTGTCAAACTACAAGCATTTTGCGAGCGCTTCGCTAGGACTCTCTTGTACCACCGATGAAGTTGTCGCCATCAAGTCTTCGAGATCATACAAAGCCGACTCTAGCGCCCTCGGAATGCGGTCTCGCTACAGCGGCATCGCTGCTGAAAGCTCCGCGAGAGTCCAAGAAAGAATGGCAGACCGAGGCATCAATGTGCCTGAAGGAAGAGAACTGCATCAACTTGAGCAAATCAAAAAACACGCAACCAATCAATGGAGATCGCCTCTGGCGGTTGAATATCAGACCCTGCCAGAGTTCGAAGCTGAATTCTGTAAGCTGCACGAAGCTGTCGAGAAGTACATCGCGATCAAATGTGGCCGAAGGATCACCGTGTCACACAGACCTGCCCTGCAGAGTTTGGTCGACAGCATTAAGTATCCACAAGTTTATGGCGCTATCAGTGAATGCCCTTCAAGTGCTACAACGCGCAGGACCCCCGGCGTGGCAGGCCGTCCCGGACCCAAAGTTTTCGAAGGAGTTCCCGCTGCAGAGCTGAGAAAGGTCTTGTGGGCAGACTTCACTCTGCAAATGATTAATCTGGAGGTACATTACAAAGTCCTGGAGGAGAATGGAGTCGATGTATCTGCTCTCAAGCCAAGACTGGCCTCGCTTTTACAGCAAATCGACGAAACTATTGGCTGGATCTCAAACGTGCAAGTCACTGGCGACGCAAGCAGGTTATGGGAAGATATCATCGACTTCGCAGCTCCAAATCCAATCTTGATCGCTGATCGACGACAGTACGAGCCATTGCAAGCCAAACCAGAAGACTTCCATCCCGCCGCGAACCTGTGTCTGCTCGACATAACCCCGAAGGAGCTCGACATGGCCGTTCCTGGTGTCGCCGATCGAGCCGAAGTGGTCACGATCTGCAGCTACTTGCTCAAGTTCATGTTCTCGTTCAAAAATCGGAGCCTCACATCTGTCTTGGAGAGAATCGCACCCAATGCGGCGAAGGACTTGATCCCTATGGTGCCGGCGATTACGGACCCAAGAAGAGGCGGCAGACTGGATCCTGCCAATCTCAAAGTGCGACAGTTGACCGATGAGATGATGGAAGGTCTGGCTAAAGCCTGGGTGGAGTGGCCGTTTAAGCCGGAGACGCATGAAATGGCGATAGAAATGTTCGATGAGGCTCAGGGCATACTACGGCGCACGTCAGACGAGGCTCTGACGCCAGAAGCTGTCACTGATGTAGAGGAGGAATGAGCAGAAGCTTTTCATACTTCTGCTGCTATTTTCACTCATGCTTCGGTATCTACCACCTGCGCGATACGATTTCACTCATACAGCAGCGACTTTTTGTGCCGGTTGAGCGCTCATGCTGCCTCTGGATAGACGTCCTTGTCCACTTCAAAACTATAACCTCAGAGCCACCGATCAAGACTCTTCGAGCATCACCGCCTTTCCTCGATTCGCGTCTTCTCGTCCGCCTTCCTCGCTGCTTGCGCAAAATCTTGTCAAGTTCTTGCTTGGCCTGACATGTGTAAGCAGCTGCCTTTCCTCGATTCGCATCTTCTCGTCGCCTTCCTCGCTACTTGCGCAAAATTTTGCCAAGTTCTTCCTTGACCTGACTTGTGTGAGCAGCTGCCCGAATCCCCAAGTATGATTTGTGGCTGTCGCTCCCGCGATACTCGCTGTAAAACTCGACCATATTGATGGCCTCGTCGATGCTCTTCCCTCCTTTGATCATAGCTCTCATCGTTGGAGTCAGCCTCTGGGCGAGGTAGCAAGCGGTCATCTCCCCACAGATGCTGTGTTCGAGCTTGAGATTGATCAGCGATGAGCGTTGTTGCAGAATGCACTTTCGCAGTTTGACAAACAAGGCACCGACGTGTTTCAGACGTGCCAACAACCTTGAAGTGACCATGAGATTCCGAACGAGTGGCAATGTGTTGACCGTAAATGGATTGAGGCAGTCCTCCCAGTTGACGACGAAGGTGTTCGCGCCGTAGAGAATGGGTGTAGCTTCCTCGTTGATCTGGCGACATGTTGCGAGGATTTTGACGCCTTCCAGACTGATCTGGTTCGTCGGTTGCCCTACGTCGTTGAACCGTATCGTAGCGTAGAAAGGCCCCCGGCCGTCCTTCGTGTGGCGCGTATACAAGCGGATTGCGCCCCGAAAGATGAGAGCGAGGTGATAGATCTCATTGCGAATTTCTGGCGAAAGGTCGAGGAAGCCGGTCTTGCCATCTTCGGCCGACTGGGACTGAGGCTTTACTGCTGGTGGTGGTGGGAGAGCCTTTGCTTGAGCGCCCTGCTTCTTGCGCGGCATCTTGTGACACGATTGATGTTGGTGTCGAGGTCGAGGTCGAGGTCGATGTCGAGAGGGATCAAAGAAAGAAGGAAAACGGTTGGAAGGGCTGTCGTTAGCGCTAGCGCACGGACATCACTCACTGAAGACAAGGCAAGAGCAGCAGACCGAAACACTCTACCTTCACTTCACAAATCCTGCACGTGGCCGCTCCGGTACCTGTACAAGTGCCTGCGCGATCAGCTGTCCACAGTGTTCCGGTGAAAAAGAGACTCATGCAAAAATCTTTGCCAACATCGTCTCATACCTCATTGATCATATCTGGCTAAAAGTGCGTTCAACTTTCCAGGCCCGGCTTTCCTACCTAACTCATCAAACGCATCATCCGCCGTCCATAAATCGTACATGTCGTTTCGTAGGCGCTTCACCGCTCACAGGATCACTTGCGCCGTCACCACCACCGATACCACGTCTCCTATCCATACGCCTCTGTCTAGCGTCGCGCGCCTCTCGCGCTTTCCATTCATTGACTTGCTGTCTCCGCTTCTGACTCCGAACTTGCGCAATCGCAGGCGTAGGCTTGAAGCCAATGCCATTGATGCCCTCGCCGTCATCATCAGGGCTCGTGATTGCGTGACCAGTGATTTCATCGTCCTGCCAAGTAAGCGAAGTCATGTCAAGAGACGTTTCAAAAGGGTCCACAGCCATAGCATCGGTTGCTGGAGAGGGGGGCGGAGGCGACAGCATGCGCTTTGGGCGTGAGGGCGGAGATTTGACTGCATCGTCGACTTTCATCACACCATTGCTGTTGTTCAGTTCCGACTGCCAAGACCCGAACGGAGTCGGTGTCGAGTTCCGTTCGTAAGCTCCCGACGTTTCTGCGACCTCGAGCAAGAGAGTAGAATTGTTGCCGACGCTTTCTGGGATTTCCAGCGATCGATGATCCTGAGGTGTTACAGAGAGATCTCGCACCCGAGGGTTGCGCTTCAGCTTCTTGCGCGGACTTTGAGAGCTGGTGGGTGACTCCTCGGCATGCTGGATATCCAGTCGGTTCAGCCTTTCGGCAACTTTGGATCGCGGACTGTTCTGGCCATTTTCTACACTGCCATCGGAGTTGTATGCTGTATCTTCAATCCGAAGTGCCGCCACTGGCGCCGGTGGAGTTGTGCCTGGCAGTTCCTGGTCTCGCTTCCGTTTCGGCGATTGATTGGGACTGCTGCTGTTTGGTGGCGGGCTTGCTGAGGTTGTGCTCCTCGGGGTGGGCGATCTATAGGGCGGATTTCGATATGGACCAAGGATCATATCGTCTGTTGATGCGTCTTGTTCCTTGATTTTCGGGAAAAGCGAAGTGCAAGTGTGAGTTTGACGTTGGTTTGAGTTGTGGCTTTGCGGCTGCCTCCGCCTCCGTCGTGCCACGTGATATTCTATACTGCCCAGTCGGCGGCAAGCACAGAGCGACCGTGTTGCGTCACATGGATCAACAGAATGGTATGGTGATTGTCACGAAAGAGCTCAAACGTACCATATGAAAACTTTTTCGTTTGCTCGAAGCTGGTGTTACATATCGTCTCGGGTATACAGATCATCTTCTCGTTTGCGCACTTAACGCCGCGCTGATCAAAGAATTCAAGGTGAGCGAAGCTGTTGTTACAAGAGACGTCCCATGCATCTCCAAATCTCGCCAAATCGCTTTCAATTACAAGAGCGCATCTCAGCCTGAAGTGTGAATCCCGCGAGGCGCCATGGTGGCCATTATACTTCTCTCAATTCCTGGTACATCATAATCTTCGTCCTTAGCGACAGGTGACAGCCGCCCGTCGGCCTTCTTTGCGTAGAAAGCCTCTTTTGCATTCTGCGCTGCGGATAGGCTGTCAATGTACGTTCTGAACTTGACAATCTCGCGAAGCAAGTAATCCGACTTGCGTTGCCAATTTGTCATGGCTTTGTTGTGGTTAGGATGACGTGGTGAAAACTGTGACGCGAGTCAGTGAAATGTTACAGGTGCTCAGAAGGTATCAAAGGACTTACTGCAAGCTCGATTGCGTGCTTAAGCTCGTTATGCTTTTCGAGCTCTTCTTCCGAAGCCTGGACGTAGGCTGTCAGCTGCTTAAGCTGATCGACCTCCATCAACTGGCTGGCCATCATAGATTGACTGGGAGGTTGCCATTCATGAATGATGACTTTGTCTCCCGGCAATCTGGTCTTTGCGCTACCGAAACCAGTATCGAAGCTGTTGCGTAGTGAGGACTGAAGGCTGGGCCTGTCAGTAGACATGCTATGCGCGTGACCTCGGGTTGCCATTGAGGACGGCGGAGTGTTGACTGCATCTGCTCGTTCTACCAGTGCTGTGTTAATGACCTGCTCAGACCAGCCATATTCGATGTTTGATACGCCACCTGCCAGAGGCTCCTTGCTCAGTCGAGCAGACCAGTAGTTTGCGGTGCTCATGTACTCTTCAGCGATCTCCGGCGTGCCTACTTGGAAGAGATGCACGGCTCCAGATGGTAGCGACAAGGCCCATACGTGCGGTCTGGCTTTACTATAGCCAGGCGGCGGCAGCGTTGAGGCAATGGTCTGGCGGAGGATGAACACCTCGAGCTGCTCAGCGTTCTCCATCCAGTCGCCACCGCCAACTCGTGTCGACGTCACGCTTGCTGCCTTGCCAGATTTGCCGAAGTGCGATTTTCTCCCAAGCGATTGCGTCTTGGTGGTGGTGTTGAAAGCGAAGAGTGTCAGCTTGCCTTTACTAATGACAGCGAAATAATCGTTCCAATTCCTGTCCTTTGCTTTGCGATCAGGAGTCTCGAGATGATGCTTGTGCTTGACAAGTCCTTCCTTTGCCCACGGGGCACCCTCGAGAGCCAAAGTCTCGTCTTCGAGCAAACCTCTGGGCACAGAGAAAGTCTCACTGTCGCCTCCACTGGTCTCTTCTCTGATGATGGCCTGCGAAAGGGCGTTGGCAAACCCCATAGAGTGCTTGAAGGATTCCATGGGTGAGAATGGATTCTGGAAGCTGCCGACCGATGCAGATGTGAGGGTTTTGCTGAAAGAATACTTGCTACTCATAGCCGGCGACCAAAAACCACTCCCATCGTCGAAGCTGGTGCGCGACGATCCCACAGTACTTGCAGGGTAAATCTTTGGCCTCGATCTGTTCGCTCGGCCTTGCCATCTTGCGGTCATTGAGCGGAAGTCGCCTTTCGACCGGTACGACATGTTATCTGAGGGCGCCCTACTGACCACAGAGCCTGTTCGTTTGAGTCCGTTCGTAAGGTCCACCACGGACAGATTGCGGCCATTCATGATATCGCCCATCACAGCACCATGTAGCGGAAGTGGTTCCGAGCGGATTGAGTTGAAGAATGACTTCAAGATGTCCTCCATTTGTGCTTCCCACCCTCTGAATGATCCTGTCCACGGGCCGTTAACAAGGGCATTGGATACACTCGAGAGGGCTGGATCTGGTGTCTCGGAGTCGTTCCGTGCTACTCCGGGTCGCATGGAAAGGCGCTTGAGGCTGGCGTTCATTGCCGAGTTCTGATTTACCTCGGATGGTGTCGACTCAGTACGTTCTATATCAGGCGTTGGCGCCCTTGGAGACGTTTGCAGAGAAGTATTTGAGTCCTTGCGCTCAGTCCAGGGTAATGTAGGACGCAGTGCGGTCATCGTAGGCTTCAAAGATTCGTCAAATGCGTGAGGTGCGGCATCAGTCACAACACGCTTGATTGTAGGCAAGGTGTTCTTGACATATGCACTTCTCGACATCTTCTCGCCGATGTCTGCAAGATGCTGGTCGGTGTTCAGCAAGATCAGCGAGTAGAATATTGTGTGCACAACATCCTGCGCCTTGAAGCCATGGCTCGGATTGCATTCGCACCATCTTGCAGAAAGTGCTGTGATGATGCGGTCGACCTGCTGGGTTTCGCCCCTCAGCACCAGCTTTGAGCACAAATTTCGGAGAGCAGCTAGAACGTTCAGGCCGGAGAAGTCGTACAACTTCATGTAAGCATGCAGCGTTTTGGTACTGAGAGTGTTTCTCTCGCCAAGCCACGAACACGCGTCAAACTTTGGGACATCCTCTTCATCACCTTCAAAGATTCTGCGAGCGCGCTCCTTGTATTCAGCACCCTCATCTATGAGCGGCGAAGGCACTCGGATGATAGTAGGATCGCTGGACTTGCGTGAGAGCGTGCCGCCATCCACTGTCACGGTAGGTAGAAGAAGCTTTGGTTCTGGCTCGTGTAAGAACTTTTCCAGCACCGGGGAAATCGGTTCCGGCTGGGGAGCATGTTCCGAGTTTTCCGATTTTATCTTTGGTGATGCCTGAGAGCCTTCTATCGACGAGAGCTCTTCTGGCCCGTCCAGTCGCTCCTCTGAAGATGTTGGTCGCAAAAGCAATCGCTCTGACTTCTTGGATAGTGGCCTCTCGGGAGCTGGGTGTGGCTTCACATACCAGCCATCCTCGTTCAAAGTGAGGCTGACATTGGTACCCGCACTGAAATCTCGCATTGCCTGATTTGAGCCTTCGATTGGACTGTTTTCTTGTGACGAGATGATACGATCGCCGGTGCTTGGCCGACGACGCGAGATGTGCCCGACTTCATGCGATGCAGTGGGAGTCACGTCGGACAGAGGTGATACCTTTGGACCGTCTTGCGCGGGATCCCGCACAGTCCCGTTTGATGCAGCTGTTCCAGGATGTTGCAAGAAAGTGGTTGATGTTAGATCCTGGCTGCCTGTCGTTGCAAGGCCATCTGGTCTTCGCTTTTTGAGTTTCATTTTAAGGTTTGGGCTTTCTTCTTGGTGCCGAGACGTCGGCGGCGGCGGCGGCGGCGGTGGTGGTGGTGCAAGCGAGGCGTCTGGAGGCGGTGTGTAGCCAGTATGGAATATGTCTGGGTCTTCAGAGTTCTCGGCAGCAGAGTCGCGCGTATGGGGTCTGGAGGCGCCTTCCTTCAAGCCCGTGACACTGCTTGGCATTGGAGGTGTATCCTGAGACAGGAAAGGGTCCATTACCTTGCGCAAGCTGCTGATTGAAGGACTCGGCTCAGCTTTGTGCACGGTCAGGTTGGCATTAAGCGTGGTGGGAATGGTCGATGGGATTGGCAATGGTGGTGGCTGAAACGCTTCTGACGTCGACTTTTTCCGTCTTCGAAAGAACGATGATGGCTTCTTGTTCAGCGTGTGGGGCGCGGCATTCTGGGCAGTACCGGTCGACGTTGGTTGTCTGGATTCGGTCTTTGCATGCGATGCCGCAGAAGCACGCGAGATTGATCGGGCAGGTGCGCTGGCCCGATCATCACTGTCGTGGTGGTGGTGCACTTGGTTTGAGCTTGGCCGCTGCTCCGCTGGCGACGAGACAACACGCGACGACGCGCCGCCGAAGACGCGCTTGAAGAATCCGGGCTTTTCGCGCGGAGGAGATGGGTCTCTCCTTCTGTGCGATATGCCAGGACTGGGAGCAACGCTGTTGAGAGAATTGGAGGAGATTGCTGGCGGCACCGGCACCATCGATGCGCCTCCGCGCATGGTGCTGGTACGCACGAACGCTTCCGCCTGGTTCCTAATTTCTTGGGAAATAGTAGGGCTTGGCAAAGCCTGCGACCTTAAATCGGTCTGAGTGGTCGTCTTTCGCAGTGACGCCGGCTGTTTCTTAGTAGAAGGTGCTGCATTAACATATACTGGACCGGTCGCTGATGGATTCTGCTTCTTTCGCGGTCCCGCGGCGATGGTCGGCTCGGGTGCAGCACCATCGGCGTCATTGGAATCGTACTTGCTATGCACAGAAGGCACAGGCCGTCCGCGATCCAGCACGGAAGGTGCGTCTGCCTCGCCTGGGATGTGATCTAAGCTCATAGAGCGACCAGCCCAAGCAAGTCTGCTGCTCTCAAACACAGCTCCATAGCCACGAGTTGTGCTTCCGCCATCACTGCTTGGCTTTCCACCAAACAGACTACCATTGTCGATATGTCTCTGTGTATCGATGCTGTTTCTTCCAATGCCATTCGCTTTGCCGTTGGCTTTTGCTCGACCTGTCAAGCTCGAAATGCCAAAGTTGGAGCTGCTGTTGCTTCGACGTGTCTTCGACGTCGACGACCGTGTCGACTTCGCCGGAGAGTGGCCATTGAGTGGCCGCGAGTCGAAATCCGATGTCGACGATGAATAGGTATGGCCCCGAGCTCGAGTGTCTCGAGTGTCTTTCGGCACGGAGAATTGAGTGGCCAAGGACGAGAGGTAGCGGTGTCGTTCCTCGTCTTCTGGTCCGTTCATGGTGTCGTGAGGCAGGTCGCCGCGGGAGATGTTGTCCAGCGAGAACAGCAGGTTTTCGACTACGGAATCGCGCGTGGTTGAGTTCCAGGACAGTCCATGCGAATGGCGGGCATCAGCAGCGTCGATGAGGGCTGCGGCAGCAGGTCGTGCTGGCTGCTGCTGTGCTACTGGGCTGCGGCGAGGGCTCCGGCGCGGACGTAGTGGCTGTTTGCCCTTTCGTTTGTTGCGAGAACGGTTCGGCGGCGGCGTGCGAGGAGGGCTCAGGCTGTGGCTCTGTCTCCGGCTCTGGCTCTGGCTTCGACCATAACCAGCTGCACCACGACTCCCAATGCCGGCGGCCGACGTCGATGCGCCGTCCCTGAAGCCCTTGGAGCTCTTCCGTGGACTCACAGAGATGGATAGGCTGTTGGGTGGAGATGGCTGGCGTGCAGTAGCGGAGGAGGATGCAGTAGAGGCGGATGCATGAGCATAGTATGTATCCATCGCAGCCGAGTAGGACTGCACTCTGACGGAATCTGCACAGCGTCCACCGCTCAATCAGCAGACCTCAGAGGTTCCGCCCGGCAACGATAATGCGCAGCGTTCTTGGGTGGGACGCTTTGAAACTCTAATGCGTGGTGCTGGTTGGGGTCAGGTACACCGCTACCCGTCCAGACAGGCTCTGTGCATGTGTTCGCCTCGCTCGAAGTGCGTGCCCGGTTCAGTGCGAGAAGCGCGCGCGCTCAGTGCCTGCAAGACCAGGCGGACTTTCCTTGACCAGATCGTCGAGAACTCTTCGCGCGCTTCTGCCGCGCATTCAGGGGTGAAGCGAAGCGAAGCGCCAGCCCAGGGCCAAACCAATCACCGCACTAGACCTGAGATGGCAGGATTGGCAATGAACACGCCATTATTGGCGATGGACGTGGGGCCCTGTAACTAAATCAGAATCTTATCCCAATATATCAGAATCTCGGTTTCAGCCGAGAGCGGCATAACGCGTGTTTCCATAGTAATTTGTTAGGCGCGTCGCGTTCCCCTGCTCTTGCACCGAATCTACGCCTAGGATAGACCTCACTGTCGCTGTCGCTGTCGCTATCGCTCGCTGTATTATCGCTGTCGCTGCTATGGCTACTCGTACGGATGATAAATGGATAGCGGACCTTCTCGCTGGCCTCGACTCGCCGCCGCCGCCGCCGCCGCCGCCGCCGCCGGCGGTGGAGGTGGATGGCTCGGTGGAGGTAGATGGCTCGGTAGAGGTAGATGGCTCGGCGGAGGTAGATGGCTCGGCGGAGGTGGATGGTGATAAAGAAGGGCAGAGCGACTCGGACGATGAGATGGTGCCTACACTGGAAGAATATTAGCAAATCGAGCCACCGCAGAGCTAGTCCTTCGAGACGTACGATAAACTCGAAGAATATATACAGAACCTGAGCTAAGAGCGTGGATTTGAGCTTAATAAGACTGGCTATAAGCGCAACGACGAACACGAGGTTATCTACTACGCCTTCCGCTATACGAAGTATAGTACGCCGAAGATAACCGCCGCTGCGAATGTAAAGAAGGAGGCGCGAAAGATCGCTAGCAAACGGTGTAGAAACGCGCGTACTAAGAAGACTGGTTGTCGGTAGTCTTGTTCAGTATTCGTAGACAATCCGGAAGAAGTTGATAGTTCTTGGACCTTACACTAGAACCAGAATAACTATAACCACGCCGCCGTAGCGCTAATCTGTCTTGCTAACTATAGGCGGCGCTGTCGCTGCTCGAAGGTTGTTAAGTTTATAGTAGATTTGAGAGCGAAGGGCGGTCTTGTTGTCCGCTCTATTCGCGCTTAAACAAAACAGTACTTCTGCAACCTAGATAACCCTCATTTTATACCGCCGTCGCTATAGGACATATTAAATGCGTAGGCGAAGGCAAAGCGAGTCAAATTAGACGGCAAAACGGCAGTCGAGAGGTCGTTACAACAACTGAAGGAACAGGGCTACTAGTTTAAGTCTAACTTCGACTTTATAGCGGAAGAATTAGCTAAGTTTACTAGCCTCAACCCTCAACCTAAAGATAGTAGTAACGACACTTCCGAAGCTACTAAAGACGACGACTCGCGCCTCTAATAGGTGTTCTTTACTTACCCGAAGATAATTGAGTTCTATAAGCATTGTCCGGACGTATTACTTAGAGACTACACCTATAAGACGAACGACTACGATTTGCCGCTCTTCGTAATAGCTTAGCTTAACTAGTTCAACCAAGTTATACTATTAGCTATAATGCTAATAAACGGACAGGCGTAAGGCAATTATACTATCGCACTAAAGTGTCTTAATAAGATACTAGAAGAACAACACTACAAGGAACCTCGTATGTTTCTATACGACAGAGACCGAGCGCTTATTAATGCCCTTCACCGTATGTTTCTAGAGCTTCCAACTATAGTCTGCCGCTAGCATATAAGATCAGCTGTTCTTGCTAATGCTAAGTATTATATTAGTACGTACGTTAATCTAACGACTAAGCGACTAGAAGCTACGGTCGAGACCGAGTTCTTTATAAAGGTGTTTAATAAGGCTGTTTCGGCTTCTATAGAAGGAGAATTTGAATACTTCCGTAGCCTTATTGTCTCGCTCTCGAAGGGTAAGCCTATTCTAGAGGCACTAGAAGAAGAAGGTCTATACTTACTTAACGTCGACAGCTGGATAATTATAGCCGATTACCTAGACCGAGAATGGTAGCTATATGCCAACAAGGCCGTTAAATGCTAGGTCGATAAAACTAGGCACTTCGGCAATATAACAACGTCGCCTATCGAGTCTATACACGCTAGACTAAAGGCCTTCCTTACCACTTCGAAGAGCGACATTCTTACCTTCCTCGACCGCTTAGAAGGCTACTTTGACTATTAAATCGATAGGTATTCTTCTAAGCTTAGTAAAGAACAGAATATAGGCTGTTCGAAGTACCTTAATAATAACTACTTTAATAAGGTAGTGCGCCTTGTTTCTACATACGGTCTCAAACTAGCAGAAGGTCAGCGAGACCTAGCTAAGAACGAGCTCTTAAAGATGCAGTCTAACCCCGATTTTACACCTAAACCATGCTCCGGCGGCTTCCGTAGAACCTTCGGTCTACCGTGCCGTTGTAAGCAACGAGCGCTTCTTACTTCTAATAGACGACGAGTCCTTAAAGTCCGGTTGTTTAACAGCTACTAGTAGGTACCTAGTAGCACTATAACTGCTGTAGAGCAGTCAGAAGATAGGAAACTCAACCCTCTTAAACGGAAGTAGAAGCGTAAGGTAAAGGCTATACGGAAGGCTCGTAGCACACTTAGTAGTACGAGAAGGTTAGCAACTAGACCTAAACGAGTAGACTTAGGCAACAGAGCTACGCCGCTACTAGGTTACGAGACACTAACCATTATTAACTAGCAAGAGGCTATTCGCAACGCCGAGCCTAGTCGCACTGCACCTCTAATTGCTTACTTACAATCGACTTAGCGAAGGAAGAAGAGGTATATATGCTAGCGGAGCTGTACGAGTCGCTGCGGCTATAGAAGTACTAGTGGTTGCACTTTAGCTTGCTATAGTAACGACTTTCTATATGCTTAGCAACCTTCGAGACCCTTATCTACGGCTCTAGCAGGTACGGCTTCTATAGGTCTTCCTATACTAGTAGAAACACCAGTCAATTAGTCCCCCTAGTAGCTACTACCTAGTTCTATGCCGCTGCCACCACCTAGTTCTATGCCGCTACTACCACCTAGTTCTATGCCGCCGCTACTACCTAGTTCTATGCCGCCGCTACTACCTAGTTCTATGCTTCCGCTACTACCTAGTTCTATGCTTCCGCTATTAAGCTAGTAGATGCTACCGCCTAGCAACTAACAATAGTACTTTACTCTAAGCTAGCAACAGCAGTATATAGTTAACTAGCAATTCAACTATAGCTACGGAGCCCTTAGCAACCTCGTACCTAACTATAAGCGTTACCACTCGAGCTAGAATATAGATATATAGTACGACCACCCTCTCGCGAATAGCCGGCCTATAGGGCACGATCCTATATATGTTGTAGAGCCTCGAAATGCTAGCAGAGCATACTAATATTGTAACTAGTTGCTATTTATATAGTCTACTGCTGTTAAGAAGTCTGTTTCGAGGTCTATATTTACTTATTCTACTGAAAAACCTAGTCTACCTAACCCGGAACTCACTCACCTACCGCTACAGTATTATGTGCTCTCGCGCACGACATTATTATAGGCGTGTCGCATAGTAATCGGTCGCATTGCTTAGCATTATGTAAGGAACCGGTAGTTGCCGAGATTCTGATATATTAGGATAAGATTCTGATTTAGTTACATGGGACGTGGGGTTGATCGCAGAGTTACTCATCACAGATGCTCGTATTATTAGATAATTATTAGACGTCGACCAGCCAGTGTTGATGATATACCATCGGTGTGCCATCGTACGCGTACCCTGACATCCGCGGTGACATACCCGACACCGTCGACTCTCCGGCGTGCGCTGCCCAAGGCATCCCAGGACGCTGCGGTATGATTGAAATGTTATAGAGCTCCTCCACCAACGCTGGTACCTGACAGTGGCCGACCCTCCTCGCCAGCCAGCCATGCATGCAACTTGATGCAAGCTCGCAGCAAGTTTCAGGATCCTTGCCCTCCCCGTCGGGCCGTGACTCGGGCCACTTGCCAATGCCAACCACATCTCGCACAACCCCCACCAGCAACGTACCCGTCGACCTGATCAGACATATATGTCATTTAATATATGACTGCACTCTGCAGTACTGCACACGAAGCGCAGTAGCTGTCAGCAGTCTTACTCTAGTGCCGACCATCGTCCCGAATGCGGTGGTTGCGCGACGCCTATGAAACATGCTCGTGGCGTGCGTGCAGCCTCCATGCTCAGACAGTGCAGGCGGTACCTGCAGCCTGCAGGACGTAAGGGGTTGCATAGACCTGCCACTGACCGCCACGGCAAATTGGCGGCCTGCCCAGAAATGTGTCAGAAGGTTCCACGTCACCGACAATTCACATCTTATTACTGGACGAATTACGCTTTCCTGATAGAAAATGCTGGAGGAATGTCAATCAAGTGTTCGAGGTGAAATTCCAGCCGAATTCTTGCGGTGAATGAATGCATGCTATCGGTCCTCCTGCATGAGCCACACTGCATCGCCTCGAGCGAGCCCGTATGTACTCCTGATTTTTGAAGAGTCAGGTCAAATGCTGTCTCTCCTGCGTTACACGTGGCGAGCTGTCCGCGCTGCAAGGAGACCGCCATTGTGCACCGCACCGCCCGACTGCAGTGCATGACAATGCTTTAAGCGGCGGTGATTCAACAAGTAATGCGGCGTCCACTGAGCCGAGCATCGCAGACGAGCCATTGCTGCAGCAAGGGTCCAATAATCGTCTATCCTATGTATATCACCTGCTTGCCGTGAGAGGATGTGCACGAAACACAGATCAAGAAAAGCCCGAGGTGACACTACTTTCAATAGATGGATTTCGCCACACTTTTGACCACCGCTCCAACACCGCTCGAGGCCTTCTAATTGGTGGAATAGACAGGTGGCATGTGCTTAAGCACAGGCCTTTAGAGCGACCGCTCCAGCTATGGAGCGGTCGCTCTATAGCCTAATATGGAAGCCAAGTGAATGAAAGCGGCTTAGCTTAGTGGAAGGAGCCGCTGGACCTGACTACGCTCTACGCGTCGCGTACCTGGTGCATTTACAGTGCAGCGGAAGAGACGGATAACTAAGCCTATATTGGCGCTTGGCGGCCTAATCGAGCCACGGAGCGGTGCTTGGAGCGGTGGTCAAAAGTGTGGCGAAATCCGTCTAATATGACAGAACTTAGAAGTTTGCATACGGTCTCACGCTATGGGCACTGGGCGAAGCAAGCTTCCCAACACCGTTCATCAAAGTCATTGATTTTATTAATCGTGGAACCGCTCAAGCACTACCTGGGAATAATTCTTCAGCGCGTGTGTACTTACTTCGACAACACCTCTCCCAGACTCCCCATCGAGGAGTGGACCGTATCTGTAATGGGAGTCAGTTCAGCTGCAGTATGTATCGTCGGCCTGTGCCACCAGGCGAAACATGTGCCGTCTCCAAGACGGCTACTACTGACCTGTGTCTTACTGCTTGGACCCAGAGATCTCCACGCTCCGTATGCCGATCTTATATGTCTTGCAACAATATCCTACTCCTCAACACCTTAGACAAGTGCTCCATGCACAGCAATCGCACACTCCCCTCATGAATTCGCCATCGGCAATCAAGGTCCAGTCGGCTATTCCGCCTGCAGAACTTTCCACGGAATCCTATTACGCGTCTTGAATATGTGGCTCATTCCCGAACAGGTTGCGTTCTGGTGGCCGCCGAGGTTAGATGAGCACCAACGATACCACGAGGTCGAAGGTAAGCATGAGCAAGAAGGCTGTGATAAGTTTGGTGAGACCCCTTTGCTTTAGCCTTCAACGACAATATGGTAAGAAGTGAGGATAGCCTAAAAGGTCAATGTAAAAGACACGCCAGAGTGGTGACTAGCGTGCCAATGGACGATTTCGAATACTGAAAGAGCACCTAACAGATCAAGACGCCACAACTGATCTGTGAGCACAGCCTGACAGTTGGAACCACCATCCACCATCAGGTAGATGCATTCAAATGCTTTCAAACCATTGCCAGACTCGGCAGGTGAGCCAATCACGGAAACGAAGCAATAAGCAATGACGGGATGTATTCTCTGGCCAAAAATATCTTGCAGTCATCTATCTATACAAAACGTGACATCGTCTCCATACGCGTCACTTTCTCGAGATTTTGGTTTGACCTGGAGTTTGTCCTTCCCATGCGTTCGGCCTGCGAATAAGGATTAGCACTGAGATGAAGTTTGAGCCATTGCCGCATTTCTAACCGTCTAAAAAGCATCGCGAGTATCGCCGAGCCTTTGCCTTTATCATCCTTCTGGCGTGCCAGCCACCAGGTAAGATTTTCTCGCAGCTTCTGCTCGGGCCTGCCGAGCACATCTAAACCACGCTCTTCACAAGCAATTTCGACCTCCTCGGTGCTGAGCTTGAAGGCACCTCCGTAGCGCTCGAGGAGGAAATCATCGCTGCCCAGATAGGATAGATGCTTCGAGAGCCCGCGACGCAGAAGAAACGATGGGGGTGGAAGCTGGATTCGGTCCCATATTCGGTTGTGGAGATTCAGTGTCGAGGACAGATGGAATAATTGATCATCTCGCAGTTTCGAGAGCATCTGTGCAGCATACTCTTTGCGCGAAATTGGGTATTCTGTGCTAGAATTTGCATCTGCAGCAGCTTCCAACCTCAATTGGTCTTCAGCAGGCTCACTGATACCTTGCCTAAAGCTGCTCCTTCTCCTCTCCTCAGCTTTCTTCCTCATCCCCTCGATCTGCTTCGGGATGCGGCAGGTTCCCGGAACAGCGCCAGGTATGAAAGGCACGATGACTGGCAGCCATTCCCCGAACAGAGCAACCAAGAGACCAAAAAACGGCAGCTTGCCGATATCATGACTATTCCGAGCCAATAGCTGGAATTCAGATCTGGTCATCAAAGCAAACTCTTGACTCCTAGAAACCTTCTTCTCGCCAGCCTGTCTCCTGATGCGTTCCCGTAACTGTGTGGCAGCTTGGTAGTTGAACCAAACCGCCTTGATTCCGACCCAGTAGAAGCTACCGTATGCCCTGCCAATGCGGAAGTAGTACAGAGCGATATTCTCTGATCGACGGGTTGGTAGCTTGAGAGGCGGTGGGAGGGTGGAGCGCGAAGGATTTATTGGGTCGCTGGTCTTGAGGCCCTCGATTTCAGCTAACGCGGTTTGCTCCGGTTTGCTCAGGTCAGGTTGTGAGGAGCTGCTTGAGGATGATGCCCAGCGACATATTTGTGGCTGCTTTCCGGTGAAAGCTATGAGCGTGCGCTGGAGTGCGGTTTGCCGGAAAAGGGCATGGTGATTTGGTGAGTGAAAGCTCGAGACAGCGCGCAAGCAACTGCTCGGCGACCTTGTTGTCATTGCATTGGCGATGAAAGATGTAGGAAAATACTTGATGCACTGGGCAGTGTTTCTTTGAAATCGCGCTCAAGCTTTTGGCTTTTGGCTCAGGTCACGTCATCATTTTACTTTCGCACACGCGTGCCGCAACGCGAGGAATCCGAGCACTCTTTTTTCGGAAATTGTTCGCAGTCCCAGCTTGAGCATATTGATAGTGGAGCATCACTCTTCATCTCTATACTAAGGAGCATGTCTTGATCTGCTCATGAGTAGCTCTGTGAATCAAGTCCCCCGGACCAGCATAGCTTAATGGACTGCTTGCTATCAGTCCGCTCCGGGCAGCATCATAACGTATTCGCGCTCGCTGTCGCCGAATGATACCACATCTCCATCAATCAGCTCCAGATAGCGACTGGTCTCAACTTTTTTCCCATTCAACTTGCTTCCATTCGCGCTTTCCAGATCGATGAGATACGGTTTGACCTTGCTCAGCTTGTCGCCGAACTCATTTGTAGTGGTTCGGTGTCGGAACTGTATTACAGCATGCTGCTTGGAGATGCTGGGATGCTCGAGATGGAGATCGGTGATCTTCTGATCTCTTCCAATCAGCCAAGCACTTCGCGTGTACAGCTGAATGGTGTCGAGCAAGTCTTTCTTCTTGAAGACATACATTCGCCACTGTTCCTTTGCCGACGGCTTCCTTGCTTCCGGAGGCTCATGGTACTTCAGCACAGTGGTCGTCCCGACTACGGTATTTGCCTCCTTGGCCAGTAATCCTGTTGGCTTGAAATTGGGCTTCTGCTTCTCGGGCGGCCTCTCGCCAGGCGCAAGCTCGCCACGGAATGATTCATCTTGCGACGGTAAAGGAGCTCTTGACTTTCGTGGAGGAGGTGACGCTGAGCGAGAGTTTCGCTTCTTGGCAGTGGGAGATGGTGAACGCTTGCGGTCGTGTGGCCGCTTGGTTCGCTCCCGCGATACTGATCGGTCCCTATATCTGTGCTCCCTCTCGCGACGAGAAGATTTCCGATCGTCTTCGCAGTCTCTTTTTGACCGGTCGTCACGTTCCCCACGCCGATGATCGCTTCTACGATCTTCCTTCCTCTGGCCTCTCGAGTGCTCATCAGCATATTCATTCCGGCGCGAGCTCGGTCTTGCTTTTCTGCCGGGCCTGTCGTCTTCAGAATCGGAGTAGCGACGGCGCCGCCTGCTGCGATCATCCCTTTCAGATGATGGTGACCTTTGCCGTCGCTTTCTGTTTCCACGATCGCTGTCTGACTCTGGATCTTTGCTGCGGCTGTACCGCCTTCTGCTGTGGCTCGTATGCATGTTCTAAGAGCTCAGAAATGCAGGTGTAGTCCAGGGTAGCATGAACATAAGTAAGACGGAGGAATTTTGAAGGAGCCTGTGGCTCGCTACGACTGGCCGTCTGACTCGGCAGTTCTTCTTGAAGCTCGATTCACCGGAGATGCGAGGAATTGCAGTGTCGTCTCCGTACTGTATGTATGTGATGTCAAAAGTAGATACATGTTCTCCTGCAGGCGCCGAAACCGACAGGGCCAGAAAATCCCAGCCATTTTTGCCGCCGCCATGGACAAGGCCATCACCTTCACCACCAAGGCACGTCTGCCGAGTGCTTCACAGTATCCAGCGGTTAGAACATGCCTCGATTGGTCTCTACGGCCTCTCGGAACGTATGAATAATCGCTTGCGCCTGTTTCAGCACGCTGTTTTGGACGACTGGAACCATACGCTTCGAGCAGCTTTGCCAAATACAGTCGGAGTAGAGCCACGCAGTTTCGTTGCGCCCAATGTTCAGCTTTCCAGCTCTATTTTGAGGATATGGTCTTATGGTGGTGGAAGCCAGAGCCTAGACGCTGGGTACCAGGATGGCGCATGGAGGAGCGCCTTCAATCTTACTCTGCATGCAATGTGGTGTGTGCAGGCAGAATGTTGTTGCTACCCGGGAGAAGTCATATTGTATTCCTACTGATCCGTTGCAACGCCGTCTCCGCCGATTGATACCACCTGCTACAACAATAATGTGAGACTGACATGACTACCAACAAATTCTTTACGTGGACCAAGGGCGACCGGAAACATGCCTCTGCTTCATTGGTCCCTATTCCAGCTGAATGTATCACAATCAAGGGGTTAGAATACAGCCGCAATGCAAAGGTACGTCAGCCGATGAAGAATGTCATACTCAGCTCAACGAACATTCAGGGATCCAGCAAGGCCAACCGCAAACCTGTACCTCTGGACTTTGATCAACCTTTAGCAGCAAGGTCCACTCAAAGTAGCAGAGCGCACGAGTCTATTGCACTCCAGGATGCCGCTGTCCAGTCAGCGACAAGCCTCATGGCTGTCGTATCCGACATGCTCAAGTCGCCTCAGCTGAGCGCCCACTTACTGTCAACTTCTTCTGGCCTTCAACCGCTGCATGGACGACCGCGCTCACGAACAGAACCTTCTACGCCAATGTTCGAAGCCGCCACGACAGAGCCCGTTGAGCTGCCTGGGTCGACACCGACTTGGCATCGACCAGGCGGGCAATACGCAGACATCAAGTCGGCAGGTACAGTTACGGTTCTGGACCACGCGAAGCTGGCATCAGGCATTGAGCGGCCCCATAGCAGTCCACAGGAGCCAACTCACAAGACATCTCTTTACAAGCACGGATCTTCTGACGGATATTCGCGAGGTGTGATGAATTTTGACTACTTGAACGAGAGGACGCCACGAAGAGATAGACACTGCTCGCTTGCATCGCCCCAGATATCGTCTTTCAAATCTGCTATCGGTAGAAATGAGTTAGCTACGCTGTCATGCACTAGACCTTCACTGGAAATACACCCTGCTACACCCAGTCAGCACCGAAAGTCGGCGAGCGTCTCTGGTTCTATGGGCAGCTCCAGGAACGGCAGTAGCCAGAGCGTTGTTGGAGATGTTCAGCATCCTATGACACGAGAAACGGCCGAAGTCCAGGTGCGGCCTGGCTTCACCAACATGCGTGAAACGATGAAGCAGATCGATTTAATGCGGTCTGCTCATGAATCTCACACGGCATCTCTGAAAGAAGCCCACGAACGAGAACTTGAGTCGTATCGTGCATACATCGCATTGCTGGACCAGCAGTACTCGATGGCATCATCTGCAAACGATCAGCCGAGCCATACTACTGTCCTCGATGACCTTCACGCCAACAACCGGCGCTTGCGACTATCACAAGACAGTATATCCAGCCGATCTATACAGTCGTCAGGCTCCACATCAGAGCATCAAAGGCAACATCTCGATGACACATTTGTAGAATTAGAGTCTGTCAGACGGAAGCTCAGCCTATCTTTGAAGGCTCAAGCACAGCTGGGAGAGATTCGACAAGAGCGCGATCAGCTGAAAGACGCCACCGAGCGTAGCGAGAAGCGTATCATTCAACTCAAGGATATCGTTCGCAAAGCCAAGGACGGAGAGAAGGCTTCACGAGCCATGATTGGCACATTGGAAGCAGCTCTCGAGTCAGCAAACATGGCTAAGATAGATGCTTTAGAGGGCTTCTATGAGGCATGCGAACAGGCGCGAAGACTTTCTGACTGGCAGAAATGTATGCCGAAAGAGCGCAATGAATTACGGCGCCAGCTACAAGAGGCAAGCTCAGGACGTGCAGGCCAAGTGGAACGAGTCGTTGCTACCAGTGAAATGGAGCATCGAGTGGTTGAGAACGAACTTGTGCAGAAGCGGGCAACATTGCGAAACGATCCATTGATTCAACAGCTTGACGACTTGAGGCTACTCGTCGCCGAGAAAGATGCAAGAATTCATGAATTGGAAGGGGCACGGCTCCTGGCCGAACACGAAGGAAGTAAGATCGGATCAGATCCAGATGCGCCAGCAGATATAAGGGAGCAGCTCACGACTTGTAAGGCGCACTTGGAGCAAGCACGAGCGGATCGCGAGAGATTCGACGAGTTGCTGCACTCCGAGATCCGACGTCAGTCTAAAATTGCCGCTCAGAAAATGCATTCCGTCACCCCTCAAGTCACGCAAGAAGCGGCAATTGCACTGACTGACCGTGTACGAAGAATATCAAAGCCATCGGCAATGCTCCAGGACTCATCAAATCGTCACACATTGGATGAGTCGAAAATTCCCTTGCTTGAGCAGGAGCTGAAGCACTGCATTCAGGAGATCATCATGTACAAGCTGGACGTCAAAGGATACAAGAAGGATCTCAAAGCAGCGCAGGCCAGGCTCGATGCGTTTGAAGCAGCCACAGGCCGCCCAGTGACTCCAGATAGCCGCACAGGCCGACAGACCAACGCTCGCCGGCCATCGGTAGCAGAAGGAACAAATGAACCGCTCAAGGAAGCCGTCGTGATCTCGGACGGTCTGGGCATCTCCTTGCAGCATGCCACCCCAGCAGGTGCAATGGCGAGCGCTACTATGAGCGCCTTGCTCTCGATAACACCCACGCCGAAACCTACGAATGCTCTTTCCAACTCGCCTTACCGACCCAAGACACCACTGGCAGCTCACAAGAAACTTCCCAAACCCCCACCACAAACCCCCAGTCCCCGTCTCCCCGCAGTAATGCCAGACGTGAATATGAGCCGGGCGCAGAGACAGGAAACCCTTCGCTCCTTGTCGGACTCGATCATTTCCTCATATGCCAAACGAAGCCCACCAGAACCAAGAGCGGAAGGATTGGCACCGACTCAGATCAGAGGGAAGAGCTCAGATCCTCCGAGAAGAGGAGGTGAGCATGCGAAGATTGGTGCGGATTCTATAGCCGTCGCGGTACCCATAGCGAAGTATTCTTCGGAGATGTTGAGAACGCCACAGAAGACCAAGACTACGATGCGATCACAATGAGCGAGATGACTTTAGAGAGCCTAATAGTATGAATATCTTTTCCGAATGAGATGATTGCGAATGAACGAATGATCCGGGTCTGCTTGTGTGTAATTACAAGAGCAAAACACGAACCTTGATTACCCAACCAAGCACGGTCGGAACCTCCCTTCCCATCCTCTGCAATAATGCTTCTGGCATTTTCGAGCGACCAGCGGGTCTGATGGCAACAGACCACTAGGTTAAAAGCGTATACGCAAGCGAAAGATGTCAAGAATCGGCATGATTATTGCCCGACCGCCCGCATCCTGCCTGTCCTTCGGCGCCAGTCCCCGGAAGTGCAATAGTTCTAATGCATGCATACATACTCTTTCTTGCCTCCAGAATCTCTTGCTCGTCCACGACACCACTCCCATTGGGTTTTAAGGACTAGGGGATCAATTTTCTCATTTCGAAAGTCCAAGACCATTGCCGCCGATAGGGCGTAGTCTCCGGAGAGTAGCTAACTCCTCTTAGGTAAAAATGCCTTGTAGACGACCTTCGATGCTTGCTATCCAAACATCGAATTAATAACAACTTCAGAAAGCTCGACGAGCCCATCCTCAACTACTTATCGGTAAGCAAAACTCGATTTTTTTTGAACCCGTCCTTCCTTTAAGCACTGGTATTGCGTACTCACTCGTCCATGGTCTGTCTGCGACCAGATCTCTTATCTTTAGGTCGGCCGTGTGCGTACGGTGGGTCGTGAAAGAAGATTAGATGGGCGACTTGCGTGCTGCCGATTCTATCGTTTCAAAAACAAAACCGCCCTCGCGAGGCTTTTAGCATAGCCTTGGTTATACATACAGGCGAAGGGCGAAGTGCATGCTTGGTTTGTAGTCAGCAGCAAGACCACATCGAAAAGCGAACCCGAGACCGTATATATGCCTTTCAGGCCTCACCACAACGTCGTTTCATTCAATACTACTACTACCTATTCACTCACTCCGCCATCTTCATCCCGCTCCTTCTCATACCTGTCTACTCAGCAGCATATATCCAAGCCGCGAGTCCATCTACTCCAATCCCATCCCATCCCTATACACTGCAACACACATCCACATCCAGGATTTGTCTCATGATCTCGTTAAATGCTATCGCTCGCAAAGAAAATGTAGTGGTTTAAAAAAGTCCATAAATTCCAAGATTCCATCGTGTGACCAGAAGCAGTATATGCAACAGGGTATATTCGTAAGTCAGAGAATCCCAACCAAAAGGCGCAGGATGCGCAGACCAAAGCTGGTCCACGAGCGCATGTAAGGGCGGGCGGCGCGTGTGAAAGGATGTTGGATTGTAAGTTATTTCGAGCGTTGAGGAGGATCCCAAACCCAAGGCTCAAGCCCGCTCATGTGAGATCCGTCGCTGCTTGGGGGTAACGTGATTCCGCTATCGTCAGAAGACCGTGAAGTCTGCTGAAGACAGCGTCGAAGCTTTACCTAGAATGCTCCACGAATCTTGGCGTATAGCTCGGTGTCTAAGAAGTTGTAGTGGGGATCGAAAATGCAGAATGGTGCTCGGAGAAGGGTATCGGCAGTTGGTCGCTCGCCAGGATCACTGTTACACGTTAGTTTCTCTTTCAAATGACACAATTCGGATCGGGAAAACTCACATGGTAAAGCAGTCGTACATGAAGCTCAGCGCCGCAGGTCCTACCACGGTAGAAACATCGTCAGGTATCGGCGGGGCCTGATTGAGACTGCCCAGCTTGTAGATTGCACCAATGGCTTCTTCCTTGCTCCAAGGTCGGCGCCCGGCAAACATCTCCAGAACCACACATCCGAGCGACCAGATGTCGACCTTGGCACTGTAGCCTTGGCTGCTCATGGTAGGGTCCAGGCCTTCACCAGCAGGTATGGAAAGAGCTTGCGACTGAGCACGGATGACCTCGGGAGCCATCCAGAAGACCGAGCCTTGCATGGAGTTCGTGATGTCGTTATTGTAGGGGTTCGCAGATCGCTTCGAGATACCAAAATCAGAGATCTTGCAAGTGCCGTCAAGGTCGAGGAGAATATTGTCAGCCTTTAGATCACGATGCAGGATACCCTCAGAGTGTAGGTATGCAAGACCGCCAAGCGTCTGTCGTGTCAGGGAGCTGACGACGGGCTCCTCGAACTTGCCATGCTTCCTCAAGCAGGAACCAATACTGCCACCCGAGATATATTCCAAGAAGATGGAAATGCTATACTCCTTCCTCTCACATCCAAGGTACTGCACGATGTTGACGTGATCGAGATGTTGCATGGTGTCGATCTCCTGATCCAAAGCCTTCACCATTTCTCGCACCTTGGCTGGGTCGGCGTTCTGCGCTTTGGGATTGACTTCGACTTGCTTGACCGCGAGCAGCTCTCCAGTTGTGGTGTTCATACCAAGATAGACACGCCCAAACGTGCCTTTTCCAATAAGCTGGCCACGCATCCATTTGAACGTTGGCTGACGCTCGGGTTTGTGCACATTGCCGGCAGGAATATGATCCTGAGGAATGGTCTCGAGATTGTGGATCAGACGACTGCCACGAGCAGGCTTGACTTGCTCGATCTTGGCGCCAAACATCTTGGTGCTCTTGCGTCGGGCAATTCCAGAAGTGTCATTCCGAAGCGTGCTGATCCTATTCGGCATGTAAGCAGACGGCTGATAGGTAGCCATGTTGGCGTGCATGCTCGGGGCGCGACTTGATGCCACAGAGGACACAGAAGGGTGATTGGAGGGCCCTCCAAGATGCGTGTAGTTGTTCTTGACCACATCTCGAATACTCTTAGTCCTGCTGAGACCGCCCGACTTGCGGATGCTCCTGCTTGCAACAGTATTGAGCTCTCCACTCTTGAGAGTGGAGTCGTCGCTGTCGAAGGTCCCGGTATCATAGCTGGAGGGAGGAGGTGTCGAGAGCGGCGTCATGCTTCGGCTTTCGGCCAGAGCAGAGGATGATGTCTTGGGCTGAAGCCCATTCTTGGTGGCTGAAACTGGACTACCCTCAGCACCTTCAGCCTCTTCTCCCACGGGCTGGTCAAGGTCAACATTCGGGAAAAAGTTGTCAAGCTGTTCTGCAATGTCTTCCACAGGTGGACGATTGGCCCAGATATTGCTTGCGAAGCTACCACGGCGGTCTATGTGCGCCGAGTCGTCGGGCGAATCTGCTGACCATGGAGTCCCCGACGAGCCAGACTGCGGGTAGGCGCTGTCTCCGTCATCGGTGGTAGAACCAAATTTGTCACTCGGCGGCTTCTTCGGCGACTCAATCTTGACATTGGCCCTCGAGGTCTTGATTCGAAGCTCAGGCACACCCGGTCTGTTGGGAGACCGAGCAGGCGAGGTTGGTGACATGCCTAGAATTTCGCGTGCCTTCTTGTCTGAAGGTGTCTTTGCAGAACTGGAAGCGCTGAAGCTTCCTAAGAGCTTCCTCTCCTGGAGCTGTTTGGCCAGCGGGATGGCAAAGAGGCCCTCGTCAGAATCGTCATCGGATGAGTCCATGGCACCAACATTTGGAGATGGTGCAAATTCAATTTCGTGGTGAGGTACGTCAAAGCTGGGCCCACGCTTACTCATCATTCTGTTGAGGCCTGCTGGCCGTGCTGACTGCGAGCTTGGGCTGAGAGGAGGACTGGCGAGACCACTGCGGCCCTCGCTTTGCAATCTGGTGAGCATTGGATTGGAAGGCATGCGGAGCGACAGTGGGGGTCTTTGTGACGCTTTCAATGTATCCTCGTCATCTTCCGGCCCAACGTATTCAGGTATCTTGAAGCTCTGGCCGCCCTTTGACATGGTGAAAGGACTTCTCGGCGTTCCACCAGGACTCCCCCGACCCGCAGAGCTCTGCCTTTGCATGAATGGCAGAGTGGCAAGTGAGCTCTGTCGAGAGCTATCGTCACTGCTCAGTAGATCAGGAGCAGTGGCTGACTTCTGAAGTGCAGACGAGAACGATGAGATTGTTGAAGCGGGCGCGCTGTTCGGGCTAGGCTGAGCAACAGAGCCAGCTGCTCTGCCAGCACCAACAAGAGCTGCACCAATACCCGCACCGATCGGCCTCTTATTTTCTTCCTCGGGTATTGATCCGTTCGAATTGCGCTTCCACTCCTCCTTGCGGTTGGGCCAGCTCGTCCGTCCTGTAGAGCCACTCTTCTTGGTGAGACTGTTTGCCTTGACCAGCGTCGCGGTGGGACCAGGGACGGGGGGCGCTCTTCTGAAAGGTTGCAAGTCCGTCTTCCTCTCGAAGTCGTTCGAACTAGAAGAGACCGGTCGAGCACCCATCTGCTTGTCCTGCTCGTAAGGCGAGGGATTTCGAGGACTATCAAAGTCATGCACTTCCTGACCATTGGCTCCCGCGACGATCCTGGACATGCGGTGATTCTGGTATTCCTTGCGCTTCCGCTCGTTCTCACGCCTATGCTCCTCTGCTCGTGCCTTCAACAATTCCTCGCGCTTCTCCGGCGGAAGACTGTTGAAGTCTTGTTGCAACATCTGTTCCTGCTGTCTCACCATTTCGTCGTCGTCTTTGGCGAGATTGTTGATTGTTCGGTTTCGATCTGACACAAGCGTGCTTTCTCCAGATCTCATCGTCGCCGGAGAATCTGCATCGGCACCTTGGAGTCGCGCCAGAGTTGCATCATCTATCGGCTTGCTCGAGAAAGACGGCTTGCCGAATGGTGCCTGCATGCCAGGGGCAAAGCCGTTGTTTTTTGCATCCGATGCCTCGAGATTGCCCGCGTTGGCACGCACGTAAAGTTTCAAGTTGCCAGTCATATCTGCCAATCGTGATCGTGCAGACATGAGCATCTGATCGTTTAGCGCTTCCTCGTGCTCCTCTTTGCCGGGTGTGGTGACATGGATTGTGATATCTGGGTTCTCTGGCAGACCCAAATTGTAGCAGATGACAAGGCGCAGTTGCGCAGGCGACTCAATCTCAGTGATATCGATTAGCCTGTAGTTCCAGCCGTCTGGTGTTACGAAAATGTACTTCTTGTCGCCATCTCTTGCAGGAGGACGTCCTCGCGTGATCGGTGCCAAGCTATCCGAAGATTCCAATTGCGGTTTACCTGACGAGGGTCGATCGTTGAGCGAGATATCAGAAGATGACGCATTGGGCTTGCCATATGGCTGTCTGAATACCTGCGGGCTCAGAGGTCCGTGCTCGTCTTCGGGTGACGGATGCGCGTCGTCCTTTTTGGACTTCTTGAATCGCGAGAAGATGCCGCCCTTGTGCTCCTTGTGAGTCGCACTTTGCGGAGTATCTCTGCTGCTGCCTCGACCACTGCTGTCGGCAGGAGGAGGTCTCGAGCCATCTTGTCCATTTCTGCCCGGGATATATTCCTCCGAAACACTTGCAACAGGAATGCCTGTGCGACTGCCAGCATCTGAAGAAGCTTCGATGCTCGGACCACGGAAGTGAGAAGTACCACTTGCATGTCGAGTGTGTGAGGCTCCATTCGCCGGTAGTCTGGCATTCATGAGACCCGGACTCTGCTGCGGGCTGCTCTGAAACTTCTGCCCCGAGTTATTGAGGTCTCCAGCGCTGCCGCTCGGTGAGTGATGCCGTTTGATCTCGCCTAAAGAAGCCAAAGCCATGCGGGATTCGACACTCCGCTGTTTTTGATCATAAGAATCCAGAGTGATGGAGCGATAATCTGGCCCTCGCGGTTTGTTGATCGTAGGCATGCGTGCACCTGGCGACTCGGTCTCGCCATCTGCAGTGGTGGGTGTTGACACCCGGGCTTGAATGTCTGCGCGAGAAAGATTTGGAGAGTTTTCGACGTTTCCGTCTGTTCCTGCACTTGTCGCATTGATATAGCCTTGCGACTCCCTTCGTGCTCGTAATGGAAGGCTCGTTGTGCTGCTTGTCGCTGCCGTCAATGGCGTACCTGCATTCCCCGTTTCGATCATTTTGCGAATCGTTCTCCGTAACCTCTTTCCCTCATCACGCTCTTTCGCCTGATCCCAGACACCACCATTTGCGGTGCATTCTCTTGCGACCTGTGGGAGTATGGTATGCGGCATCAGTGCGAAGTTCTTCTCTGCTCCATGCCTGCCGATCGCTAGGAACTGCGAGCCATGGAGGCCCAAATGCTGCATTGCCGCCTGCCACTCTTTCGAAAAGTTCTGATCTGCCAGGAATGCCACAATACGCTCGGTGGTCCAAATCTGATCGGAGGGAGACGCCGGTGCTTCTCCGGCGAATGCTGCTTCTCGACTCGTACTCTCGGCCGGCTGGCTGACGCTTTGTTGGAACGGCGGCCTCTGCTCGTGAGCAGGCGAAGTGTGCTGTTCCGTCTCTTTTGCAGGGAGAATTAAGGTCTTCGGCTTGCCGGTCGCAGGGGTCGGAGGAGCAATGCTCATCTGTGTCGGTGGCGGAACAGATTGCGAAGGCTGAGGCGGAGGCGTGGGATGATACTGGCCTTGGTTGTGAGGAAACCAGGTGCCCGTACCGTCTTGGCTGTACGTCGGATGTCCTCCATAGGATTGCTGGTAGGTCGCATTGGCAGCACTGAAATCGTCAGATCCCCCTCGATAGTAGCTCATATGCTGAGGTGCGAGTCGAGACTGTGGTGCAGGGGCTCTGTTTTCATGAAGAGCTGGAATGCCCACACCGGGGCCGAAACTGGAACCGTCGGGAACATATGTTGCCGACGTCAAAGGCTGGTCAGCAGCGGGCATGGGAGGAAGATTGTAGTAATCTTGGTATGCGCTCGGATTGTATGCGCGTGGCTCTCTCGATTGCTGTTGCTGTGGCGCCGGATATGACGGCTGCCTGTTCCAATACGGGCCCGACGGCGGTGGTTGAAATGCGTTGGGAGGTCGCCATTGCTGCAGAGGTGGCGGGGGAGGGATTCCAGGGTGATGCGGGTGTTGTTGTTGCTGCTGTAGAGGAGGCGGCGGCGGTGGAATCATCTGTCGCGCCCACTGGCTCTGCTGCTGAGCGGGAGCGGGAGCGGGCGTGGTTGGCTGCATGAGGCCCGGGTCTGCGTATGTTTGCGCCCTCGATGGCGGCGAGTAGGTGGAGTTGAGATCATGCGGAGGGTATGGCCAGCTTCCCTGCGGTCTCAGACGCGTGTTGGACGGATGGTCCGGGATGTCGTTCAAGACGACGCCGGCCAAATTGGCTCGCGAGACGGTGGCAGGCGGCGGGGTGTAGGAGGTGTTGTTGGCTCTCTGGAGGTTGGAGGCACTGCGATTGCGACCGGCGCTTAGCATGGCAGAGGTAGAGGTACAGGCCTCACGGGACCTGGGCTAGTGGGAGCTCGTGCTGAGGTTGCACGAGACATGCGCGGCAATGGAAGCATCTGTATGTCGCAGCATCAGGCGGCGCCGATGCTGACGTTGCCAATGGGCACGGCGGGCGCTGCTTGCTGGGAGACGGTGGGCGTGAGGCGTGAGGCGTGAGGGTGAAGGTGAGGGTGAGGGTGGTGGCCAGCGTCTCCGAGACTTCTCGCGCTCCGCTCCGCTCCGTCCAACGTGCTCTGCCGGGAACGCTTGGCAGCCGACAGCCGACATTCTGAACTATAATTTCCGTCGTTGCTCACCTCAACAAACATTGTTCACAGACATGGACGCGCTGCCGGCCGTCGATCGCCGTGAACTGGAATTCGACCAAGGTCTTGCTGGGAAGGAGCAGGGAGCGGAATAGGGTCACTCGAGGTTGGTTCTTGCATTATTGTCGCACTCCAATCCACGAGGCAGGAAAGAGCTCCTCCCCTCCGAATCGAAGCTCGTGATTGGACAGAGCTCATCATGCAGGCACCCAGGCACCCAGGCAACGTCTCCGAGCAAACATCGCGCAAGGCAAGCGCGAGCGCAACATCGGCCGCCACCTCCACCGCTTCGACCGAATCATTCTCTGCCATTTCGAACAACATGGCAGAAATCCGAAGCAACGCCATCTTCTCCCCCGCCCCAAAGAGGAACGTTGCAGCCTGGGCCCTGAAAGCCAAAACAAGACCCCTCACGGTCAGCTCCGCACCATACACGAAACCGCCAAGCGGCCATGTCGTGATCAAGACCTTCGATGTTGCCGTCAATCCCATCGATTGGATCCTACAAGACGACGACATTTTCCAATCAGAATACCCCACGGTCTTTGGGTCTGATGTCGCCGGAGAGATTGCTGAGGTGGCGGACGATGTGAACGACTTTCAATTGGGACAGAGAGTCATTGCGTAAGTCTGATATCGAGCGTAGCCTTATTAACGAATACTGCCTGCCCCCTTTGATCCTGCATGCAGCCGAGACATATAAGAGCAATGCAACATGAAGAACATCATGGCTGATGATGAAGTCCCTGAGAACAGGCACTGCTCCCGAGCCCCGCATGTGAAAGATGTAGCTCCGGGCGCAACAGGAGCATTCCAGAAATTCGTCGTCGTTCAGAAGAATGCTGTTGCAGAATTGCCCGCCAAGATCCGATCGTCCGTTGGTGTTGTTCTGCCACTCGGCATCTCCACCGCCTCTGCCGGCTTGTTTCAAAAGGACTTCCTCGCCCTGCCATTTCCAAAGGAAGATGCAAACCCACAAGGACGAACGATCCTGGTTTGGGGCGGCAGCTCCAGCGTCGGTTCTTGTGCCATCCAACTGGCGACGCAAGCTGGAGTCGAAGTGGTGACTACTTGCTCGGAAAAGAACTTCGATTATGTGAAGGAGCTCGGCGCTGCTGAAGCTTTCGACTACCATGCCGAAGATGTTGAGCATCAGGTCGTGAAGTGGCTCAAGGGGAAGACAGTCGCTGGTGCATATCATGCTGTGGGCGCAGACGGCGCTGTGCAGTCATGCGCTCGCATTGTCGATCAAGCGAAAGGCAAGGCCATCGTTGTGAGTGTGCGCGGTATACCCGATGACGATGACATTCCCAAGTCTGTTCGAACGAAATCCAGTAAGTCGCTGCCCGCAGATCCTGATCGTAAAGCTGAGGCTGACCGCAAACAGTCGGGGCTTCGGCCATTTTTACCAACGAAGTCGGACCATACATCTGGCGAGAATACCTTCCCAAAGCATTGAGCGCAGGCAATATCGTGCCCAAACCAGAACCCTTGATCGTTGGTGAAGAACTGCGATCAGTCCAGCTCGGCCTCGACACGCAGAAGAGAGGCGTAAGCGCGAAAAAGGTCATAGTGTCGAACATCTCTCAATGACCGACCTCGTGGCTCGTAAAAGGCGTCATTACCAAAAAGCATAAAACAAAAGTGCCATCCAGCCAGTCCCAACCTTACATCTCCGTCAATTTCGGATCATCATGAATATCGCCACTCTCCAATTTTCTCTCAATCTCGCCTTCCTTCTCATGCATTCCAAACATCCCAGCCAAACCCTGCTCCCTCTTCAACCCCTCGACCTTCCACCTCCCAAAAGAATAATTCACCGGAGACTCTCCACCCTTAAAAATACAAACATCATACACCAAACCCCCAACCAACGCCCCAGTAATCGTCGCACACCACGGCCCCCAAATCCACCAATGATCCCTCGCCGAGAAACTGGAAACCGGATACCCAGCCGCAATCGTCGCCAAACGCGGTCCCAGATCTCTCACCGGATTAAAACACCCACCGGTACTCCACCCCAACGACATCGTCACCGCCGTCGTCAAAAGTCCAATAATAAACGCATGCATTCCCGCCCCGGGCGGACTGTTACTCGAATCCCCCAAAGCGAGAATCGAACACGCAATCACAGCCGTGCCCAACACTTCCGTGAAAAAAGCGGTGGAATTGCTCACCCATTCTTTAGGTTCGGTATAGAACGCAGACCCGGTCGTCTCAGAAATCAACCCCCCTCCACCACCCAAATGCACAAGCCCATCCCTATACACCCCAAACGCCATCAACCCCCCCACAAAAGCCCCCAACACCTGCACAAAAACATACACGGGCACTCGACGAGCGGGAAAGCCTCGGAAAATCGTTAACATGATCGTCAAGGCGGGATTGAGGAAGGCACCGGACCCTCCGCCTGCGATGTAGATTGCCAGCATGACGGCGAAGCCCCAGCACCAGTAGATGGATTGCATGGTGCCGGTTTGGTAGGAGGAGGTGAGGACGGAGAGGTTGCCGGCGATGCCGAGGAAGATGAAGATTGTTGTGCCGAGACATTCGGCGAGGGGGCGTTGGAGGTGGAGGCGGATTGCGGACCAGGTGTTGGAGGGGGGAGGGGGAAGGTTGGTGTTTGGGGGTTCTTTGGTGAGTGTGTCGCGATTTTGGAGTTTGGAGGTGGATTGGGTTATGGTGCGGAATTTTATGGAGGGGGAGGAGTCGAGGTCGGAGTCGTCTTCTTCGGCGGGGATTGAAGATTCTTCTGCTTCTGCTGTGGCTTGGCCGAGGGAAGGGTGGTCGTTGTTGGTGTTGGTTCTGCTTGGTTTGGGGGCTATAGTCACTTGTTAGTATGGTTCATGATATCGAGGAATGATCTTGTCGAGAAGGAATCTGTTACGCACGTTTCTCTTGATCGCTTGATACAACGCGATCGTCTTCTCCAGTACCATCTTGTCTCGACCTTTCGGCTTCTTCAACTTGAGGCGCAGGTTCGGTTTCACCCTTCTCCGGCGCCTGAACAGCCTTCACTTGCCGTCCATCCTTCTTCTGTTTCTTATTCATACCGAAGCGAACATTATGCGGGAAAGTCCCCGCCAAACTAAAGCTGCCGTGATGCGTGTTGGACTCCATCCAAGGATTCAACTCTCGATACCCTTCCTCGTAAAATGTATTGTGAGGATCGTGATGCCGTTGGTGAAATTGATATGGCCCAGCAAGCGAGTAATCAACATCATTTTGAGTTGTGGTCGATCTAGCTGTTCCTGCCGTCCTGTTCGTCCTCGCGGTAGCTTGCCGTGATTGCTGCGGCCTAAGTTGCCGGTTTGACATCACGATGTTTGAGTTGCGAAGCAAGGGAAATGGTTCAGTGAGGAATGCAGAACTTACGATGAGCATCGGTATTGGATTCTTAAATCGAACGGCATGGCCGACTTGGCTGCCACCTGTGTTGGTGGTGATGATGCTGGATTACCGAATGTAGTGCTTGCTGGTGGGAACCGTTCAAAAGACCCCAGATAGTCATGCCTACTAGTGTTGAAAAGGTTGATGTGCTGTGGCGTCGACTGTGTGAAGTTCTTGTCAGATCCTGCTATGACCGTTGGTGAATGGTCGGAGATAGCCTGCTTCGATGACTCTTCGTTCTGGCATCACTGCTATTGCATTATCGACACGTCGGTTGCACAGAACAAGCACACAGCGATGCATTCGTCAAAAGAGTGCGGTCAAAGTAATGTTGAGTGGGTCATCGTGGTCGTAGTTCTCTTCTCTCGGTCCGATACATTGTGGCGGAAGACGTGTGGCTGCGCCGATCCCGATGATAAAACGAGATGCAAAAGCACTATGTGATTTGACAGAACCAGCCTTTCTCACACGGCCCCGGTCATGCTATCTCCTAGTCTCAGATTCTGTGCCGGCTTCCACCTCGCATTCTGTCCTGATCATCTTAGCGTATGACGGCAACGTGACATCTCTCCCCTTCCCTGCAAGCGCTCTTCAGAGATATTTCGACAACGTTCGAACTTTTCGGTGCTTCGCTTTCTCGATAGCAATGATGCGACTGTGCGATCGGTCTGGCAACACGGAAATTCGAAGCGTCGTGAGGACAGCACGGACCAGTCGCCAGACGTTTGCCGACACGTTGTATCCTCCGTAGACCAAGGTTTGAGCAATCCTTGGAAGACCATCGCTCAAGCGAAAACCATGTACCGACCTCAGGAATGCTCCTGCAATCCCCAACATGGCTCGTACGAGCGCTATCCCGCTGACGACAGCATACTCGTATTCCAGGCTCTTGGAATCTGTTATCCGAGGAGGCGCAATTTTGTCCATCGTCCCGACTAACTGGTGTATTGACGCTTATAGCATCATGTAGCCTCACCTTGAATGAACAGGGCAGCTCTACCCTAGCTCGCATGAGCATGGACAGAACAGGTTTGAGATCAATTCCACAACGGCCAAGTCGATCAAATTGAATGCTGGTAATGAGACTGCTGACAAACGCATGGTGCACTGTCAGCCACCAGAGCGATTTCGTCGAAAGAGTCGCAAAAGTCCTCCGCGTTTCTTTTTCTGCTCGGCGAGGTCATCATCCATCACAGGCCAGCCATTCTGCACTGCTTCCTTGTTGACAAGTGACATGGCGTCGAAGTCCACCGGCTCGGACCATTTATGCAGAGGAATCTCACCCAGCTTTGTGCTGTCAGATGCGATAGAACACAAGGTCGGAGTCGGCTTTTGCAGCCTTCGTCGAGGCTCCATTGATGTGATATTGGGCATCGGGACTTTCGCTGGTATTGCAGGCACTGGGTCCGGATATTCTTGTGTAATTCTCTCGAGTCGTGGAGTAGACCGCGTTGCGCGCAAAGCGTCTGGTCTGCTTTGCTCCTGCATGGTACTGACATCCATCGACGAAAGATTTCGTTGCGGCAAACGTTTCTCGGGATGTGTGTTGGCGCGACGATGTTGTGGCCTTGTTAATGGCTCTACTGCGGTGTATTGTGGTGGTGGTGTCGATAGAGGTCCAGGCAATGCCAAAGAATTGCAAGATTGAGCATTCGAAGATGGCCTACTAGAGGACCTCTTTTTCTTTCGCTCGCCTGGTCGAACCATCGCAATTTCACCCGGCTTGTTGGAGTCTGCAATGACCACTCTCGCAAGAATGGGTCCTCTCGCTGTGGTACGTTTTGGGCTTGCTGCCGGCTTTCTTCTGCTCCTGCGCTCCGTTGATAGGACAGATGTCGAATGTGCGTTTCGTCCCTCGCTCGTGCTTTGTACTGCTCGAGGTATGCTGGACTTCTGTTGCAGCAAACGCCGATAAAGCTGTCTAAGCGCACGACACGTATCAACGCGAGATTTTTCAGACAAACTCGTCAAGGACTGGCAGTCAAGCTTGGTATCGTGCTTCTCTCGGCCCAGGAAAGCATTTATCACCGTGACCAGGCCAATATTTAACTGGAGAAGAATCTCGGCAAGCGATGTCTGTGCTATGGCTGCAGAAGTGTTCAGTATCCGCCTGCTCCTGCCAACCAATTTCACTCACCATCGCCTTGTGCAAAATGCTCTCCGACAGAGATGAGACTTCTCTGGTACTCTCTGCCGATATCCTCAGGCCCTTGTCTCAGACTCTTCGCTAGTCTGACTTCTTCGTCATCCAGTGACGCGTTCTTCCTTGTTTTCCGCCTCTTGCCTCGCAGCTGTCGGAACTTCTTGAAAACGTCCAAGCCGCTAGCAAAAGATGCGACGATGGAGAGCACGCAGCTGGACACGTTGGACTGCGCCATACCGATCGATCGTTCTGTAGATGTGTTGCGAAGACGAGCCCAGCACTCTTATTACCAGCAGCCGTCCAGGAACATGTTCGAGTGATCACGCACTCCTCCAGGCACGGAGGTCGCACGATATGTGCTTGTCCGTTCGTGCGCTGTTCTCTCTTTTGCACAAGCGAGGCGACGAGAACTTGATGTAAACTGTGATGTATTCAGAAGAGGGCTAATCTACAGAAAGCCCGAAGATGAAGTGTGCACAGTTGCAGCCTCAGGTATTATGCACGTGATAGCTAGCTATATACACACACTCTCCAAGTTACCCCCTTATCGCGTGTATACAGCCAAACAAGTAAACCACTGAAGCAAACAAAGGGGTATTAGGTGTAGAAACAACTAGACTACTTTTAGGCTATTGTAATAAAGCAATTAAACAAACATAAGCAGTTAAACTAGACAATAAACCTATGTCTTCTATCTATTTAGTATTCAGTAGTAGGCTAAGCGGCGCTCTTAATAGCAGCCTTACAATCTACTAAGTTCAACTGTTTAACAAAGCGACTATGCTTAAGCTTGTTAAGCGGCTTAGTAAAGCTATTAGCGATCTAGTCGTATATACTAATCTAGGTAACAACGACAGTGCTATTAGCGATCTTCTCGCGGATGTAGTGGACCCTAGCATCTATATGCTTAGTACGGCCATTAACGCTTGTCGACTAGGTAATAGCAATAGCGGACTAATTGTCCTCGTATAGCGTTATAGGCTTAATAGTGCCCTTGTAACTAATCTCTTATAGCAATCGAGCTAAAGCAACGGCTTCCTTAGCGCTAGTTGTTAACTAAACATACTTAGCTTCTGTAGACGACAGAGTAACTAAGGTCTAGCGGCCTAACTTGTATAGTAGCGGTCTACTAGCGAGTGTGAAGTAGAAGCCGCCTATAGAGCGGCGAGTAACTAGATCGTCAGCCTATGAGGTATTATAGTAACTAGCCAGATTGAGCTTATCCTTGCTCTGTATACCTCGGAAACACAGACTACGGCTTAGAGTGCTAACTAGGTACTTAATAAGCTAAAGAAGTGCGGTATAGTGTTCCTTAGTCGGGTTAGAAATGTATCGTAACAATAGGCCTACAGTATAGCAAGCATTAGGTCGTGTAATTATAGCTAGCTACAGCGCCTCGCTAACACCTTCTTAATACTAAGTCTTGAAGGCGGCACTAGCTATATAGCCCTTAGGTACGCGTTAAATGGACGTCTTAATATAGCGAGGTGCTATTAGAGTAGCTAGACCGATACGGCTACGCATACTATATTTCTTACTAAGCCTATTCAAATAGGCATCTTGAACGACGTAAATGGTACGCTAACCGCGGTTACGGATGATCCGTATGCCGAGATAGTAGTGCAGGTCGCCTAGTTCTCGCATATTGAAACGGTCCTTTAGCAACTAAGCAACTGCCTCTAGTGCTAATAGAGTATAGGCGATAATAATTATGTCGTCGATATAGATAACAATAATAGAGCCGCTAACAACGTATTTGAACACATATATATTAGCTATTATTAGTACAAAGTCTAGGCTCTTTAGGTACTTTCGAAGCTCTTCGTACTACAGCATTAGCGACTGTTTCAGACTATACAGTGCCTTTAGTAATAGGCAAACCATGCCCTTTCTACTACGGTCCTTAAAACCGTATAGCTATTCGACGTAGATCTTATACTTATTACCGATAAGCGCATTAAGGAAGGCCGTTAGAATATCGTACTGCTTAGCCTCTAGGTCGTAATGAGCGATTAGTGCAAACAGCGCTCGCAGCGTAGACGGCTTGGCTATAGCCGCATAGGTCTTATTATAGTCCTGTCCTTTAACCTGTATAAAACTACGGACGACCTATCGAGCCTTAAACCGGCTTACCTTGCTATTAGCGTTACGCTTAATAGTGAATACCTATCGGCTACGGACAACCTTGCGACCTCTAGGCACTTCTAGTCGAGAAACGTGTACCTACGTATAGTTATCTATTAGTGACTTGTATTCAGCCTTACAGGCGTCCTTCTATTGTGGCTAATATAGTGACTAAGTCGCCTCCTTGTAGCTCTTCGGAATAGGAATAGTGTCTTCTATATCGCTCTGCTTAGCAACGTAGCAGGCAGCTATAAAGCCCTTTATATAGGCTATTAGCATATTAGCTAGGCTACGGCGAGTTGATCGATTGACACTAGTATCGGCTAGGTATCTACGCAATAGCTCTCGTGCTAACTTGTTGCTTCGAGTAGTACGTATTGAACGAGCGCCTATAGTATTTAGTCGCTCAAACTCCGGCAACTAGCTAGGCTCGCCCTTCTTAGCGTAAGGATCGTACGCTAGCTCTTCCTCGGCTAACTGAAAGCTATCTTTATTACTTGAAGCTAGTGGTTGAACGTCTAGAAGGTCGTCATCGATTAGTAACGGATCAGCGACCTTATTAGCTATTTCCTATATAGGTCCTTGTGTAGGCTGTTCTTCTTGCTAAGCTAGAAGCCGCTAGACTACACTAGTAGCCTTAGCAGCCGACGGAGCCTCGTTGCTTGTAGAATTAAACAAAGCCGGCATAATAGACTTAAGGGTGACAAACTCGTTCTTAGATAAGTCGTTAGTGTTAGTGTATAGCTTTATACTATCTAGAAGCAGGAGGTTACCCCCTAACTCAACAAACTAGACGTCCTTAGAAGCGATAACTTTGTGTTAATTAGGCAGGTAAATTATATATTTTCTAGAGTCTATAGAGCCCTTAGCATAGCTAACTAGCTTGCTAACTAGGCCTCTACTGTCTATCTTCTTTCTACGAGTTACACTGTAATCGTAGGCAACTGCAGTATAGCTATAAGCTCGAAGGTGCTATAGGCGTAGCTGTGTTCGTAACTAATTGAGCTCCTTAGCTACAATAGTGTATAGGCTTCCTCTATTAGCGGTTAGCGTAATATTAAGGACCTATATAGCGGAGGCAACAGCATATAGCTACAGAGACCTTAGAAGGTTGGCCTGTAGCATTATCTTTCTCGCAGTCGTATATACGATGTAATTGCTAACCTTAGTAAGGCTATTCTAAGTTGAAGAATAAGGAGCTGTAACCTGCAGTACAATGCCCTGATTACGAGCCTAGCTCAACAGCTGATTTCCGCCGTATTTACCCCCTCTATCGAGGCGGTAGATTGGGATTGAGTAACTAGTCTATATACGGATATATATACGATAGTCCTTGATAGCCACTGCAGCCCCTAACTTAAGCGTACTAGCATATTCGTGTCGATAGCCTAACTTGGCGTATATGAATAGTGTGAAATAGCGCTCCTACAATAGACTAGGATTAGTGATAGTAACTATATCTATACAGACAATGTAATAGATCGTAGATAGTCGTACGCGTAGCAGCCGATTGTATTCCTTATATAACATAGCTATACGATAGGCAATGCAGTTGCGGAAGTCCTTCTTAGCACTAGTAATAACAATCTGACCCTTAGATTCTATTCTTAGCAGCTTGCGGTGATGAATATAGCTATATCGCAGATGCTACTCATCTATAGTGCCTGTAGGCACCCCCTTCTTCGACAGAAGGGCAACCACTTCACTATCTAGACTAGAGGTTAGTATATGGAGGTAGGGAAGACCATTCTTACGGTATGTCTAAGCGACAGTAACCTTATTGCCCTCTACTATCGTAAACAGGACACGCTTATTATTTCGGTAGAAACAACCCTTGTCGGCAAGCTTCTTAGTAGACAGAAGGTTGGCTGCTAGACCTAGAACATATAGCGTATTAGACAGCTTCATATTGCTAACACTACGCTTATTGACAACCTTAGTCTAAGCTATACCAACTATCGTAGCGTGCTTCGTATTGCTACTAAACCGGATAGGAATGTAATAGCCTTTATATTTAATAAGCAATAAAGGGTCGTTAACTATATATATACTAGTACCTAAGTCGACAACCTAATTAGTAGTACGAGTGCTAGCAGTAAGAGCCGTAGAAACCTAGTCGCTAACAGTAACTATAGTGGCGCTTGCAGTAAAGGCGTAATTATAGCTTAGGTCTAATAACACCCCCGGGGTAGCATTAGCCGCATACAGCCCCTAAGCACTATTCTAACTAGCTAGCGGTTGTTGCTGTTGTCTACGCTGCTACTATTGCTGCTACACCCCCTTCTTCTTAGCCTTCTGCTGTTTACGACGTAGTCGGTCTTCTTCCTTTAGATGAGGGTATTTAGTATAGCAGCGGTCGGAAGGGTACGACCCCTAATAATAGGCGTACTTCTTACGGCTAGACTAGTAACTATTCTAGTTCTAGTTGCTTCTACCGCGGCCTCGACTATTGTTGCTGTTTCCGCGGCTACTACGACCGCTACGGTTCGAGTTACCTCGACCGTTGTTATTGTTACTATTGCTACCTTGCTATTATAGTTAGCGTTAAAGACCGAAGAAGCTACTATACTAGGCCTAGTTTAGTTAAGCTATATTCTTATCAAGCAACGCGCTAATGATGTTATTAAGGGTGCTGTTATCAATAGTGTATTCTAAGGCGCGCATTTGCTTACAGCGCATCTATGCGAAAGCCTCGTAGAACGGTGCAATTTGTATAATAAACATATAGACAGCCTAATATTAGCTAATAGCCAATTTAGTATCCTTTAAGGCACCGAGCTTCTTCTTATACTTATTATAGAACTTCTTAACGTCCTTACCATCGTAGCGAAGGGTAATATATTCCTAGTAGAGCATGAATTCAGTAGACCCACCTTTACTAGTATATTTCTTCTTAAGGAAGTCCTATACTTCCTAGGATATAGATAGACTAAGCAGTAATTGTTAGATATTACTAACACAATTAGCAAAGATCCAGGTACGCGCTGTTTAATCTTTAGAGTCCTATTCATCTTAGCGGTCTTCAAATTCTTTAGAAGTCTTACTAGATACCTTAGTAAGGGGTCGCTAGCGGGTGCCCTATATATAGCGCTAGACTAACATACCTTTGAGGGCGCCTTTAGCGGCGTAGGCCCATGCTAGATAATTCTCCTTGTTCTTTAGCTTAGGAATATTGCTTATGTAAGCGCTAGATATTGTTATAGGGGGAGCTATTGCGGACAGCGACGGCGATATAGAAATAAGACTATAGACTTGTCTTAAGGGGCGGCCGACAGGCGCGCCTTCGTTCTAGTGTAGCGGACAGCTAACACTAGTGTAGCGGACAGCCAACACTGACAGTGGCCGACTCGAGTCTAGCACCTACTAGAAAATCGAGGGCGGCGAAGGGTAGCGGCGACGATATTAGTGTCGGCGCAAATATTGGTGACGAGCGCTAGCTACGCAGCTGTCGGAGTGACTATTAGAATACGTGTTGTATGCGTTGGAAACGCAGGGGGCTCATAACCACTTGATGTAAACTGTAATGTATTCAGAAGAGGGCTAATCTACAGAAAGCCCGAAGATGAAGTGTGCACAGTTGCAGCCTCAGGCATCATGCACGTGATAGCCAGCTACACACACACACTCTCCAAGTCGAGATGCATAGATAAGGCCAGCCCAAGTCGCTGCTTTCACGGGGGGCGTAGATGCATCTTGCGTCGTCTCAACCTCAAGCAGCGTGGAGACGAGCATCGCGGCGGCAATGAGCCCAGTAAACAATGACCTGATGCAGGTCCACCAAATGGCATGAATCGAAGCGGCAGGAGCAGTCTGCTGACAGCAATCAATTGGACGAGAGGTGCAGCTGTCGTGAATCCTCCCTCAAGCTGAAGATGCACGTGATAGGAAGTGAAGCCCTTTACCCGATTACCCGGCGTTCAACTTGCAGAGACTCACTCCCAGGATAAATAAAGCAACTTGGCTCCGGGAAATACATACAAACGAAGCAGCATCGGCGCTGGTCTAGTCTGAGTATGATCACATTCTCGCGTGTTCCTCGCAATTATCATTCCCATCAAAGCCTTCCACATCATCACATCACCACGATCAGCCACTTCAGCCGAGCTAGAGAAATTGACAGAGATCGGCTTGCGAGAATTGAGAGATATCGAGGACGACCAAATGCGGCTCAGAAGTGTTTACTGTACGTCCATGACACCAAGAACGACCGCAGCTCTCTCGCGCCCAATGTATTCTTCAAGTCAGCATATGCCTACATGCTGATGGGCGATGCCGCTGCGAGTGAGCGGCAGATCCGTCAACTTCTTTCCGTTCCTGAGGAGAAAGGCCAAGCAAATTGATCGTCATTGTGCGCAACCTAGATGACGGTCTATATCGACAGAGCAAGGCATCGGAATCTTAGGATCTGAGAAATCTGTACCCGGATGCTTTTGAGCAGCGAGAAGAACTGGTCTGGCGCTCATACGTACCCTAATAGCTGTTCATGCAAAATCTTGCGATACTGACTAGCGAAAATGCACCTAAAGACGAGATCTGAATCGAGCCTTAGTGAAAGCACCGCCTTCGGACATCCTCCGGACTTCGAATTTGCTAGCATAAGCTATGGCTGCGAGCTAGGTGCGCGTTTCTTGCTGCTCCAAGTCAGTCAATTGAGCTTTGGGCTCGGGTAAGTTTCTTACCCCTTCTTGGATTGCGGTCTCGGATTACGCGACAGAATCGCATGGAAGATAGGAAGCAGTATGGTGATCAACTCTGTTGCTTGGCGCAAAGCTGGGTAGGCGGGATGTGGCTCACCAAGGCGAGTGGCGAGTATGGCAAAAATCGGATCGAAATCGTTCTTCAGGTCGGGAGCCGGCAGATCTGTTGGTTTCAAGATTCGTGGTGGATTCGGGGTACTTACTATGGGTTGCGATATCCTGAACTATCGAAGCTGACTAGCAGATAGAAGGTAATGTTCGTGTGGGGGGTGACCGGCACACTTTCGAAGCAAATGTCGTTCGCTGGTCTGCAGTATGATTAGAAAGAAGCTGCCGGTTAGGAGGTTCAGACATCAAGATAGTAGTTGACTATAGCCGCTCGGCGAACAAAACAAGAGCGCAGCATGAAGGGTTCGTTTTCTCAACTTCAAAAGATTGTTCGATTGCGCAGTTGTTGCCAGTCACACTCTTTCAGCTCCAGTGCAGACCTCGCTCGCTGTCTCTGTATCACTGTTTCACGGCCTCATCAAAAGACCTTTCCTCTGATACTACCGGCAGCCTCTTGATGAAGGGAACGCGATCGATGCACCATTGCTCGGTGTCCGGCGTCCAAGTGTCAAAGTCGTCCAAAGTACCAGCAGCCACACTGACAATTTCATTCCAAAGCGGAGTGAATGCGAAGAGCTTGCTAGCACATCGATCGCACGAGACACGCTTCAAGCTCGTGCCGCTCCCGGTGTTTGTGTCCAAGTACACTTTTTGATGTTCTTCCCCTGCTGTGATTCGAAAGCCCTATAGTTTTATCAGCGGAATTCGCTCTCTCCATTCACTCGCACAACGGTTACACCAACATCCTTGGGACATATCGAGGCGCACAAGAAGGCTGAGCCCGTGACGCGTCGGCAGTTCAGGCAATGGCAGACTGCAGAAAGAAGATTATCAATACTCGCATATCGCGGCCATCGCGGTAAATACGCAGTCACCAGTGTTATAGTATGGCTTGAGCGCGGCGCCGCTAAGCTCATACTTGACTGTTCCGCAGAGACATCTCCCAGTTCTGGATGCCGAGCTCATGATAGGAGAATAATGACGCTGTTTAAGTTGCGTAGGTTGCTGTTGCCATCAAGGTCTTGCTGGTCGTCTGCCTGCAGACATCTCTGGGTCGTCTCCGCATATGCATTGTGAAAAGTCCCGAGGCTATGGTATTGGCTGCCTCCTCAATCGCGTGTCAGTCGGGAGCGAGCAACGCCTAAATAATGTCCACGGTTTACTGCATCGAAGCGGTTCGGGCAATAGAACTAATCCAGGCCACATCAGCAGTCACCCTCACCTGACATGCTGATGACATTGACACCTGCCAGACGACAATGCATGGGCAGGACGTTTCCTTTTGCACGTGAGATGTAATCTTGTTGGCCAGGGCGCCAAGGCTGGGCGGCAACAAACACCGACATTCTTTCTCCGCCAGCATGGAGATCTCAACAACCACAGCGCCGCCCGCAGCCCAGCAGCGTGGCATTCTCTCCGACCGCTGCCCAATCGCGCTGCAAAGGAACCGGGGCCCCGTGAGGATTGTGCATACGGCTCGGTCCACTCACGTTTCTAGCTGCATGTCCAGGTAGTCATAGACGTGGCAGCCTCTCAGTGCCTGACACCGAGCCGCCATCTTGAAGGCTGAGATCGCTAGGGGACGTTCCGCGCCTACCGCCATCAGCCTGCCAGGCCTTACGCAGTCCGTTGAGCCAGTGTCGTTATAGCACGCCTCAGCTATTCCTGCTACGTCGTTGACTAGAACTATCCCTCACCAGGCCATAACGCTATTGCAGGCGGCGATTCAGCAGTCCTGGTCCGTGACGTGCGACCCACCAATGACTTGTTCCCCCGCTAAGACCGTGGTTAGACATCGCGTATGGAGATATGGGAGTGAGTATCTGTAACTTTTCTGGGGCCTGGTCAGTCGCTCCGAACAAGAAGATCTTCTTCCTTTTTCTTCCACTTGTAAGCTCTTAATAGTTCCTTCTTCCGACGAGGAATCGTTGGCTATCAACCTTGAGACCGACCTCCACCGACCGTTCCCCGGCTACACGACCTCCATTATTCTTATCCTACTTGCAGCCACTCGATCTTGAGTTGCACTGTCGTCCTTCGTCTCCACTGTCGTTTTTAACCTTGCATTCTTATCCTCACACTGCAGCGCCATCATGCCGGTCTCGCATCTTGGACTCACCGTCTCGCACATTCCCTCCTCGACCTCATTCTTCCAAGCTGCACTCGCACCGCTCGGATACAGATTCATCGGTCACCAAGGGAACTCGATTGGCTTCGGTATTGACTCCGCCGACTTCTTTATAACCCAGGCTCCATACGGGTGAGATGACACGAGCCACACATATAAACTCAGCGCTGAAGAGAAAGCAGTTCCCGTCCTTCGCCGAACCACATCGCTTTCCTTGCCGAGGATCGGAATGTAGTCAGAAACTGCTATACTGCTGCTGTCAATGCTGGAGGCCGACCAAGTGGTGCTCCGGACTACCGCAATGACAACTGCTCGTGCTTCAACGCTGCCGTAGAGGATCTTGACGGCAACACGATCGAATTTATCTTCCGCCAACCCCATGACGACCAAGGCTGCTGCGGTGCTCCTGAGGCGCCTGAACAAGGTGCACGAGTCCTGACATGGCAGAAGGACGTTGCTGAAAGTGGTGGAGGGGACGATGTACAGTCAACAGCAGAGTCCGCGCGCTCAAAACGCAGCGCCGCTTCCAATGCATCCCGAGCTCGATCTCGAATGCAAACCGCGCTTGACCTGGCGTCCAACACATCAAAGTCCGTCAAGTCCGTTGCACCATCACAAGGCATCACTCGGACCGGTACTGCTCCTACTAACACCGGCTTCTCCAACAAGACTTTGATTGGGACTGCTCTTGGCGCTGCTGCTGGTGCCGCACTCATGTTCGCCATGACACGCGAAGAGGGCCGAAATGCCAGAGATGAGGCTGATCACCTCAACTACATGTCTCGATCCAGATCAAAACCAAGGGACTCTATGGATGAGCCGCGAAAGATGCCATCGCCACCCAGAGCCGAGACCAAGCCGCCGTCGATCCCCGCTTTATCCCAAGCACCAAAATCTGAAAGCAGAAGATCTCATCGCAACTACAGCACCACGGAGTCAGCCCACAGTCGTCCTCATCCTCGCTCCACTCAAGCGATGAGGATGATCGAAGCAACCGGCCACAACGATGATAACGAAGTCCAGCAAGCAATCTCACGGTACGACAACCTCCGGCCAATGCCAACGAGGAGCAGAACAATGGGCGCCATTGAACCTGCACCAGAGTACGCACCCAAGTCTACCGCCAGTCGCGCTTCTGCCAGCATCAAGCGAACGAGCACTCTACCCCTCGACACCGAGCAAAAAACCCGAGAACCTCTTTACCTGGAAGCTCCGAAAAGCACAACTTCGCGACACAGCCGTCACAGCACCCATACATACCGTCGAAGCAGCCACGACGACACCGAAAAACTAAAACGCCACGACAGCGGCATCAGCATGCACTCCTCCCGCTCCCGCCGCGACCGCGACCGCGACCGCAACAGCGACTCAGGCCGCCGCTCCTCCACAACAACAACAATCAAACCTCGCCGTCCTTCCTCCCAAGAAGACGCCATCCCCCTCCCCCCACCCCCCATCGGTTCCAACGCCCCAAGCAAAGCCCCCAGCAGGAACCCAAATAGCTGTTACTACCCCGCCGCAATCTCTCTTCCCCCTAGCACCACCGCTCCACTCGACGTGAAAGAATCGATGCAATCTTGGGAAAATTTCCCAGATGATGATGATGATGATGATGTCAAGACTGTTTTCCCCGAGGACTCGATTTCTTGTGTGGATTTTTCGAGGCCGAGGAGACGACATACTCATTCTTCTTCCCGACATGCCTCAAGTCGAAGGTCTGAGAAAGGGGTGGGTGGTAAGGATAAGGATAAGAATTTTTTGGTGCCGGTGTCGAGTAGGAGGAAATAGAAGAAGAAGAAGAAGGAGGTTGGTTTAGTTTTTTCGTCTTCCGAGAGCACGTTTTGAGGTGGTCTTTTTAATTCGACAGTTGAGAGAGTGTGGTTGCACAGTCCCAGGTTTCTTTCTTTACGGTAGAGGTCGGTGGGTCGGTGGGTCGGTCTTCTGTAATTAATACAAGTCCGGATTATTTTTCCCTCTCACAAACATTATAATGAAATGAATTAAACTTCCATCTCCTCTTATCGAAGCAAGTAGGATTTTTAGGGACAAACTTCGATATCGCTACTATCGAAGCACTCTATATCGAATCTCTAGTATATTAATGCTAAGCAAGCACTTCGCTTTTCGCTGACTTTGCAAGGTACACTATACAATTATCGCTATACTCCCTAGCAAATATAGCAGGCATGTTAAAAGTTAACAGTATCGTACCTTCTTTAATCGAATAAAGAAAGATATATCTATCTATCTATCTATATATCTGAGAGCTATATAGGTAGAATATACTAGTTAATGTCCGGGCTTTATTTTATTACTAATAGCTGCGGAGCGACATCAAAGAGCTTAATAATGACTATAGAAAGACTGTGTGACAGGGTAGTATAAGTTAAGTTTGAAAGTCACTCACTCACTAACACTCAAGATGCAAAGTCGGGCCGAGTTGTAACTTACGGAAAATCAATGCCTGATCACGGACTTTTGCGGGTGGAATCGTTACATCGGTGAACCCTGACAAAGTTTTGATCTCTTCAACGTATATCACCGAAAGAGAAACCGGGGTTGATGAGTAGCTGTCGTAGGCCAAGAGAGAGGAATTGGACGAATACAGTTGATTCATTATTCACAGTGGTATCTTTAAGTATCGCTAAGCTAGACAACGCTCGTCCATGTATGCATCCATTCATCATGACCATCGCCGTCTATGCTGTAATTTACGACAATCTGGAAAAAAAAACATTAACGCTCGCCCTTCTCCATTTCGGTGATGTGCTCTTCCGTTGATGGACTCGAGTCGACGCGGTTGGCGGTACCGGCGAGTACTGGGTCGTATTGTGGGGTGCCTGGAACCTCACCAGCGAGCTGCTCCAGGGTAAGTCTCTTGGTCTCTGGGATCAGGAGAGTGGTGAAGCATCCTAGAAGCATGAAAAGGGCGAAGATCTCGAGGACATGGTTGAGCCATGGCGACGCATTGGTGGAGGTTGCACCACGAGTACGGAGAGGTGCGATGGCAGCCTGAGCAATGATGGAACCGACCTTGCCAGATGCGGCGGAGATGCCGTGGCAGGTAGATCGGTAACGGGTTGGAAAGCACTCTCCTGGCACGATGAAGGTGGTTGAATTGGGTCCGAAGTTGAAGAAGAATTGGGCAATAACGTAGCAGGCCAAGAGACCGCCCGTGCCAATATGGTGGTAGGCGAAACCCATGATGCAGAAGATGATGGTGAGAATGATGAAGCCCATAAGCTGAATTGGCTTACGGCCGATGGTGTCGACGAGGGCGACAGTCACCCAGTAGCCTGGAATGGCACCGGCGCAGACCAGAATGACATTACCCACAGCAATGTTGTAGAAGAACTCGTACATGTCGTTGCCCTTGCCGTATCCGATGGCCTGGAGGATAGTGGAGTTGTTGAGACCGACACCGTAGAAGGCAACATCGAGCAAGAACCAGGAAGAAGCGGTTCCGAAGAGGACCTTGCCGTATCTCCACTGCATGATGTGAGTGCCGAAGTCTCTCCAGGATGGCTTCGGAACGTCGAGCTTTGGTGCGTTGTCGCGCATGCTGCTGACGCGGGCAACCTCATCTGGAATACCCTCGGCGGTTCCACTGAGGTAGGCCTTGATGTCGGAGCCAGCCTTGACAACATCGCGGGAGACATCGAAGGTGTATCGAGGAGTCTCGGGGATGGTGAGACGGAAGTAGAGAGCAATGCAACCCGGAACGGCGCCCATTCCAATGATGACACGCCACATCTTGTCGACGGCCTCTCGGCAGACGCCATCACAAGTAGCCTGGCTGGTAGCACTCTGGAGAGAGCCCTTGAAACCGACGGTGACGATGAGCGCAATGATACCAGCACCGAACTGTCCAAGACCCTGCTGGGCAAAGACAGCTCCCATCATGGCTCCTCTCCACTTGGTGGTAGCGAACTCGGAAGTGATGACTGAGGAAAGAGGGTAGTCTGGTGGCGAGTCAGTGGCAGTAGCTCGAAAGGGAATGTGGAGGTCAACTTACCACCACCGATACCGATACCCATGAGCACACGCCAGAAGATAATGGTTCCGACGATGGACATGGAGGGAGAGTTTGACGACAGGGCCTGAGCGAGAGTTGCGAAGATGATGATGATCAACTCAAGACCGTACATCCTCTTCCGACCGACGACATCGGCGAGGAAGCCAAAGCCAAGCTGCCCAACAACAGTACCGCCCGAGGTCGCGACCTTGATAGCAGTATCGGCGTGGACTGGGATCTTTCCTTGTGCCGATTTCTTGATAGACGGGTCCTGCCAGTAGACGACACCCAACATGGTGGTCACGATTCCAATGGCGAAAATGTCGTAGGCGTCGGTGAAGAAACCAATGCCGGCGACGGCGACGGCACGCACATGGTACCAACCGAACGGTGCCTTGTCGATCTCAGCAAGGGCGAGACGTCGTCGCTCGTTGGGGTCGGCGATGTGAGCATAGTCATTGTGGAAGTTGTGGAAGGCAGCGTTGCCGCCCGCCGTTCTGGTGGTCATGGCGTGTGTGGTGGATGTGTTGTCGTGCTCGGCAGAGCTTGGTGACGGGACGGGAACAAGACAGCTGGGTGCTTGGGGCCGAGGAAGGGAGCGACTTGGGTGCAGTTCGGGGAGAGCGGCGAGGGTGATGGGCGTTATGAAGGTATGAGACACGGTCTGGCGCCAAGGTCGCGAATATTGCTCTGGCGTGAAGGGCTGGCGTCGTGGGTGAGATGTGGTGTGTGAGCCAAAGAACTTCCTTTCCACTGCGCCTTCCAGACGCGGTCTCGAGTGATGCTCATGCTTACCGTACTAATGCGAGCGAAGGTTAGCATGGAACTCTGTTGCACGCCCCACCTGCCCGCCGCCATGCACCAAGCCGACCATTCGCAGCGAGCCCTGGAGACAACGTGCAATGGCAGGGGCAAGGGCAAGGGCCGGCGTGAGATGTCTGACCAGCGAAAGCTCGAGCCCGGGGTGCGCCGTGTTGCATCGCCTCTCTGCTCACTGATCAGTCTGCTGCTCTCATCAATCTGGGCCGGGCCTGGCCTGACCCTCCCCATTTGCATGCATTTCGAACATGTCAGCCGAGGCGGCATCTCGCGCACCGTCGAATGAGCGACTCAAACCACTCACTTGCTGTAGAGAATGTGCTGCGACCATTCACTCGTGTCCCCACGGTCCAACCAGATGCGCTGCTGGCAGGTGTCGATGAGAGTTCTGAGGCAGACCAAAATTATCGCATTGCAGGCTCAAGGCCCGTCCCAAAATGCCATCCTGGCTTCCGCCGTTCCGGAAGACGCGATCGACCACCCATCAATGATGACCCTCATATCCCACTGCCGTGTGTGTGCCACCCTGCATCTGCTCCCGACGGCGGATAGGCATAAGACAGCTATGTACATGGACAATGGACATGGACGAAGTTCGCATGCTGCTCGTCTGACCCTTGCCTGCTCCCTCTGGCCTTGCTACCGCTCATCATCAACCTCTGAAAACGGCCTCACAGCTATAGCTCCCGCCCTTGCCCTTGCCCGTGCACGGTATGGTTGGAGCGACAGAGAACGGTCAGAAAGAAGCCGAGACAGACCACGAAGGCGGCTCCAAGAGGCAGCGGGGCGTGCCCTGCTCCTGGCAACGTGGGAAGGACGCATCGGCGGCATGCGTGGAGGGCTCTGAGACTGTGCGCATGCTGATTCCGGAGTCCAGACCGCTGGCTCGCCGCTTGCGCGCAGATTTCGCGATTTTCGAAGGGGGCAGCAAGAAGTGAGGTTTGGACAGAAGCGAGACGCTCTTATATGAACGAATGAAAAGGCCTGCTAGTATAATACCTAAAGCGCTAGCAGTCAGCCACCCTAGGTCAACCCGAAATAGAACATCGCTGACTAAGATACGGAGCGGTGGTTTCTACTGCCGTGGCCGTCCGGCGCGTAGACGCGTTTGTTTATTATTTCCTATATTGTCGCCCTTACTATCGCTCGTAGTAGTATACGCTCGTAGTAGTATATGCTTTATAGGAGGTATTATTATCGCCGCCTTGTATTTACTCGCTCTTATTAAAATAGCACTATCTCTATTATATTATAGCTTCCGAGACCTTGTTATCGCCGCTGCCGCTACCTAGTACTATAAAAGTCGCGTTAATCGTTACTTCTATAACTAAGCGGCTATCTATTTCGAGCCTATTAAATCCGGCGGAACGCGACGATATTATCGACTATCTCGTTAATAACCGTAACGCGTCGAAGCCTCCTCTAGTTAAGCGTATTTAGTTACTAAATACTAGTAATAAGGACTAGGCGTTAGAGGATAGTAAGGATAGCGGCTATAGTAAAGAAGGCGCTAAAGAACGCGATAAGAAAGGTAGTAATAGTAGTAGTAGTAAGGTCGATAGTAACGGTAGTAGTAGTAAAGTCGATAGCGCGCTAATACCTCGTCGCTATAGAAAGCGTATTAAAGTAATAGTTATCGAAGATAGATATACTATTCTACGCGCGCCTACTAATCTAAGAGCGCTACGTAAGAAGTAGTTAGCTATTCTAGACGACCCTAATAATAATAATAGCGAGAAGGGCTTTACTATAACGGCGGTAGAGTTTAATATAATTTAGCTATATATTAACAACTTCTAAGTATATATAGCGCGCCGAGCGGATAAACTTAGTCGCTAGTATATATTATATAAGTGTCGATTTAGCTTTAAAGCGCATTAGTAGAGGCAGAAGCACTATAGTAGATATAAAAAGAAGAAGGAAAAGAAGATAGAAGAAGCCGTAGCGTATCCGCTAACTATACGCGTTAATAAGAATATAGCGCTCGAGAATAAAAATAAACCGGATAGCAATCGCGTAGTAGTTAGCTATACTATCTTCCATAATAATCGGCGCCTAGTCGAGTACTATCTAGGCTATTACCTATAAAAAATAGATATATATCGCCTATATAGCGCTCTTTAGAACGCAGTTAGTTAGTAGGTATATACTAGCTAGCGGCTGTACTAAGTATAGGATCGAATGCGTAGTAAGGACTATAAAGTCGCGTACGAGACCTTCTAAGCCGCCGGCGGCGAGTAGATATCGCGCGACGACGTTATTAACTGCGGCCGATAGTACCGCAAAGTGTTTAAGAATAGCAGGCTTAGTAGAAGTACGTTAATATAGGAGCAATAGATAGCGGAGTGTCGGAAATAGCTCGAAGAAGGTATGTTTACATTACTAAGTTAGTATTATTTACTGCTCGAAGTTCGAAATCGGGAGCTTCCGTATAGCCGAGGTACGATTTTAGCTAACTACGGATCTCCGCTTTGTACGGATTAGCCCGTCGGCAAACCCCGCTCGAATCCCCGAACCCCGGAATTCCTAGAATTCCTAGAATTCTATTGTTTTAATTATACAAACAACGTGCTAATACTGCTAAATAGAAGGCTTCTTTTACGCTAAAGTATACGCAAAAAGATAGATCGACGGCGAGGATACTACTATACTCGTATTTGTATTAAAATATAGCTTAGGAATTTTATATAGTCGTGTTTTAGTATAGATAGACGCGACGTATAATTCTAACTATCTAGGCTAGCAGCTCTATATCCTTATAGTACGCGACAAATACGGCTCTCTACGATAGGTCGCGTTCTTCCTTACGAAGACTAACGACGGTAATATTGTCGCCGCGGCGCTAAAGCAAATATAAGCCTAGACAGTCGATACTACTAATCTAAACGACTATAGTTAGATAGCAATCTTCTTCCTTATAGACGACTCGGCGGTAGAGCGGCGTACTATTATAATCGCGTTTCCTACTATAAAGCACCTTCTTTGCTATATATATATTAAACGGACGTTAGATAAGCGATTTAAGAGCGAGAAATATATAGATACGAAGCGGCACCTATATACCTTCGCCTTCTCGAGAAGAAGCCGTAAAGGCACTCTTAAGTTACTTAATTTAGTAAGGGCGAGTCTTCTACGCGCTATACGTAAAGATAGTACCCTTATACTAGAGAGCGACGACGACGACTATTAGTTAGACCTCCGCTATTTATAGAAAGAGCTTAAAGACAATATAGCGCTAATTTGTAAGCACTATTATTACGCTGTCTCTAGCGCGCCTACTATCGTCGAATAGATATTAAATACTAACTAGCTCGAAGGCTAGCATTTAGTGCTTAAACACGGCGAGTTTAAGACTATTATAAAGCGCGATTATATACTTAAAGGGACGGCAATGCGAGTAATTAAGAAGTTAGCTAAATACGACCTTCGAGCTAATAACGATATCTTCGCGGCGCGTACGAAGGTCTATCTATAGACAACCGATAGTAACGAGATTGCCTACTTCTTTCTACGACTTCCGTAGAAGCTTTAGTAGGCAATTAGCGTTAAGATTAACTATGCCGAAGATCCGGAGGTATATTATAAGTAGAAGCCTATATCCGACGACCTAACCTACGACTGCAAATTCTTCCGTTAAAATAGTGTCCTTTGTCGCTATATTTAGTCCGCTTACAAAGCAATAGAATATAGGCTAATTAAGACACATAATTACGACCGCTAGATAGCTATGTTTAACGACGGTAGACTTAACTATTATAATAACCTTCGTACGCTAGCCGCGCCCTTAAATTGCGACCGTACGACCGTACCTACTTACTAGCTTTAATTCCGTAAGCTTTATAATAATATGCGACAACTACTATATAAGATTAAAAAGCGACTAACTACTAAAAGTAAGCCGCTCGATAGTCCTTATCGCGACTACGTTATTAACAACTTTATTAGTCTTGTCCGCAATATTAGCGGCGAGTTAAGATAACGCGCCTTGTCGCTATTAGTAGACGACTATAATAATACTACGACCGGCGCTAAGATTAACCTTACCGCGCGCGCGAATCCTATACCGTTACAACTTCCTATACCTCTAGAGATACTATCGTCCTTCTACCGTCCGATTATTAACTAAAATATTACTATTAACGCGACTGCCGTAGACGCGATAGTCGGTAAGAGCAAGAATAAGCAGAGGGCGTAGGGTAGTAGTAGTAGTAAGAGGAAGAGTAAGAACGCGAGGTAGGAGCCTAAGATTGCGATAGAGAACGCGATAATACCTTAGCGAATACTACTCGCGCTAGTTAATAGTAATATCTATATAAATTTGTATAGAAACGCGACTTAAATCGCGCCTAGTGTTCTATATAGTATTGCGCCGCCCTCTAACTAATAGTAGTAGTAGTAGTACTAGCTCGTACCTCTGCCTATAGGCTTGTTCTACGACAACTATAGTATTATATACTACTAGGGTATTAATAGGCGCGCCTACTATATAGATCTATTAAGTCTATAGTCTATAAGTAATACTTCTATACGTATTTCTACTGCAATATAAACAATACCTCGGATTTAGCTATACCGCTATTTTGCTAATAAACTTTAGCTTTATTTCTAGTAATATACCTAGTATCTATTAGTAGAGAATGCGGGGTCGTTAAAGTCTTTTAAAACAGTGCGAAATCTATTAAATTGCGACCGTACGACCTCTTACTATCGACCTTTAGTATGCTAGCGGAAATCGTACTACTACTACTACGGTCGACCTAGCAACTGCGACGCGCAGCGACGACGAGATTACGTTTTCTATAGTTACGTACACTACGGCGCGGACTTCTACATCTTGCCGAGTCCGCTACGGCAGGAACTTGCCGGCGTAGCGTATCCTAGCGCTTTAGGTATTATACGGTTTGCCATGAAAAGCAGGCAGAACAAAACGTGTGCTCCTCCTGCACCGCGTTTTGTTCGACGGCACGAGGCCGAAGTGCATTAGCGCTGTCGCTAAGCGTAGATCTGAACGCCACAACAAATCTACGGCCACGTGCATATGCTTACAATTCTGGGCGTGGAAAGTGTGAAAATTTGTATACGTTATGGCAGAGGCCAGACCAAAGCACAGTACATGTATGAACCTGTCGATATCCAATCTAGTCCAATCCAACCTCCTCCCTCCCTCCTTCCCTCCTTCCCTCCTTCCCTCCTTCCCTCCTTCCCTCCTTCCCTCCTTCCCTCCTTCCCTCCCTCCTTCCCTCCCTCCCTCCCTCCCTCCCTCCCTCTCTACTGCCCCGGCATCCCCTCCCTCAAATTCTTATACTTACTATAAGGATAATCAAGAACATTCCGACACTGTTCCAACCCCCCACACCGCAACAAATGCTCCTTAACCGTCCCAATCAAACTCCTCGACGAATTCACCGGCAAGTCTCCACTCAACTCCCACCACATGGCACCCCCCAACCCCAACCCTGAAATCGCCTCGGCCTTCTTCAACGCAATCGCCGGCTCATCGTAAGAAACCATATACCGCGAATGATTCCCCTTCCCACCCATACTCCACGACGCAACGACATCGTAATCATATTGCACCCGCGATCCATTGAAAGGCAAGTCTTTATAATCCCAAACCCCCGCCTCCCAACTCCCATCCATCGGCTGAGAAAACCTCGTCCCGGGTCCTGACGTGTTGGCGAAAGATCTGCCATACAACGGCATCCCCAACATGATCTTCTCAGCCGGAAACCCACTCCCGCTCCACGTCCAATTCCCCGCCCCATTCCCCGCTTGATAAGGCCCTCCAGTCCCAATATAATACTCCAGCGCATCCTGCGTACAAAAATCCGTCCCCTGGGGATTGCGTTGACTCTTGAAAAAATTCGAATTGTGGCCCGAGAAATTCGAGAAAGACGCTCCTTGATAATCGTAGGCCATGAGGTTCAAAAAATCGACGTATGGGTTGAGTTTGGGCAGGTCAAAGTGTTGAAAATTTTCGGGTCCGGCGGGGACAGCCATCGTTAATAAGAAATGTGGATGGGAAGTGAGGTTCGCGGAGTAAGCGTCGAGTTCTTCACGGAAGAGACGGGCCGTGTCGACGAGGTCGGAGGCTTGCGAGGTGGAGTTTGGATATTCCCAGTCGATGTCCAAACCGTCGAAACCATGGTCTTTGAGGAGTTGGACGGAGGTTTGGGCGAAAGTTTTTCTACCGGTGGGGGTGGAGAGGGCGGGAGCGAAGTAGGTGCGAAGGTTCCAGCCTCCGATGCTCAGGAGGGTTTTGAGGTTTCGGTTTTTTTTCTTGTGGAGGTAGAGTTGTTTGAGGTTGCCGTAGAGGTTTGTGGTTTTGTTGTCCGGCACGTCGCCGTCGAATTGTTTTTGGATGTCGGCGTATTCGTCGGTGAGGTAGGCTTCGCCGGTTTTGTTGTTGATGCCTGCGAAGGCGTAGAGAACGTGTGTTAATGCTTCGCGCTGTATGTTCTGTGGGGGCCAATTGCGTCCGTAGATTGCCCAGCTGGTCGGTTGTCAGTTTCATTGTGGGAGCGAGACGAAGGTAATAAGACTTACCTCGCGTAGTATCCTATCGTCTTGAAGCCTTTTTGCGTGACATGTCCAGATGCCGCTGCATTATTCCTGCTTCGCACTTTCTCGTGCAAATGATCGTGTTTGATTGGTATGCTCTTGTGTATAAGGCTGGACGCACTGACTAGTGCAGTAAAGAAGGCAAGAGCCGCGATCTTAAAACCGAGCATGTCGTCGATGGTCGGCAGCCTCAAGGCTTGTCAAAAGTCAAGGGCCCAGGTAAAGGTAAAGTCAAGTGAAATTCCCCAGAAAGGTGTTGGTCTGATGAAGAACAAGGTCTGCTCTCAAGAGGTTGTGGTGCCGTTCAACGGCTCGTGATGTCTAGTGAGGTAAGAGTGAAGTGACTGCTCTGGCGGTGAGCAGATACTTGTAAAGGAATGAATGTGAAGTCGGACGAGAAGCCTGTTGTCTTCTTGAGGCGCAAAGGTCTCAGTGTCTCGAGATTCTGCAAAGTGAGAGGACAATGGAAGTCGACTAAGTAGGCATGCTGAAAGCCTGGCCACGAGATTGCAGACCCGCCCAATGCGTGCCCATGCTTCTGGATGTATCTCAAACGCGCGCGTGCTGGAAGCACCTTGTGCGACGTTTCTTGTGCAGTGACAGCCTGCATCTGAGCACGCAAAGGTGTGCCATGTGTCTCAATCAACCTCGTATCCGGTGATTCCGTAGAGCTTCCGTGATGAATAGCGTCTCGCTTCTCGACTGTCCTGTTTCTGAGAGGCAGTGTGATGAGAGCATCGAACTTGATCGAAGTTAAGGTTGGTGAGGGTCCTTGCCTATTCTCCAAGTCAGGCCCCGGTTTCAGCATCGCCTTTGAATCATTGGATGGCGTGAAGACCAGGGTGTCTAATGGAGAGGATCTGCAATAGGCCAGTAAGCCTGGTCGCTCCCAGCGTGAAGAAACCTACCATTACATGCTCATTAGCGAAGATTCGCCGACGAACCAGTTCTTGCCTGCAAAAAAGAAGCGCCCTCACATGGCCTTCATCGTGTAACCCATGCCTTCACCACTCGATCTGAATACAAAGTGGCGCTTCCCACTCAGAGATGCCATCTGCTACTCGATACTGCCAGCATTGTGTGGTAAGTAGATGTGACGGCCCACAGTCGTCCAAACAGCGAATCTGCAAGGTACCCGATCATGAAACGCCTAGAGAGAATGACGTTTGCAGACGTTCATCGTGGTCTCGTTGATTATGTAGTAGGAATACACACGCTTCAGAAGTATGAATGATGTCGCTCAAGTATGAATACATCTGGTCCCCATGCATTGCTTTTAGTGCAAATCCAGATTCTCCGTGCCCAGTGTATTAATTACATCGCCAATGTTGTTCCAAGATGGTAAAGGTAGTGCCGTAGGAGATATAATCGGGTATCTCATTTTTTTCAAGGAAATTCGTGAAGCCCAGAGGGTATGTAGTGGGGGAGCCCGCATCTCTGCAGCTCCATGTTGGCGTCAAAACGTCTTCATAGTCGTAAGGTTGACGTGCAGTAGATCGAAGTCGCTGCACGTGTTTGCCATATTTCACGAAAAGTCGGGGGGGCCGGGTTGATGTCGACGCCGTGCTTTTTGTGACTGCGGTGAGTGGCAGCGGACGGCGAGCACGTACGCACGCACAAGATGTGCGTTGTCGTGATGAGCGCATGGTAGCCCAACACCTTGCTTAGCTGTCGCACTGCCAGCTCCTCAGGAGGGTTGCAGGAGGCGGAAGTCACGCACGGCTCGCAAGCAAGTGAGGAAGCGAGAAGCGGTGAGAGCTTACCAGCAACTAAGCTTGTGCCACCATCGCTTCTTCTTGAACTCCTCAGCAGCCTCCCAATCTGGCTCTGGAGGAAGCACCTTTTCGTCGTGGACGCTGCGTAGAGGCTCAAGTGGTCGTGTCCTAGCAGTCGAAGAGGGCAGATTCGGAGTAACACCCTCTTCGTGCTGTTTGCGAGCGCCAACTACTCGTCGGACCAGCACTAAGCCGACACGATTAGCCTGTGCATATTTCATGAGGAAAGCTCACTCACGCGCAAATGTCTCCTCAATGTTCACCATCTCACGCGCACTGGTCTCCATAAATCCATATCCTCGATTTCGCGCCCATTCGAGCCCTTCTCTTGCACCGACTTGCCGTATGCCCTGGAGGTCGCATTTGTTTCCTGCTACTAAGCAAACAGGTAGCACCTGCCCTTTCGATAGTCGGATCTCTCGTTCTTGATCGATCAACTGGTTGAAGTACTCCAGTGAGTGTAGTGAATTCGCTTGTGTGATATCGTACACCAGTAAGAAAGCATCGGATCTCAAATTTGATCCAGACCACAAGCCTCGGTATTCTTCTTGACCGGCAGTGTCTGTCAGCTCCAGCGAATAGGTGGTGCCGTCGACGCTACGCGTGACGGAATACGAGTCTTCGATGGTCGGATCGTAGCTGCATGACGGGCGTTAGGCTTTGCATTGGAATGCTAGGATATCCAGTACACGTACTCATGCGTCCATTGGCTGCGGACAAGACGCAGTGTGATGGAAGATTTGCCGCAACCTCCATCGCCGCAGATGGTAATGGTTATTCTATGCGCGTCGTCGACCATGGCGTGCTTCTGAGAATTGATAGATTATGGTTCCTATATGGGAGGCGGGCCGGTTCGCGATGTCGTCGGATCGGAGTGGGTGAGGTAGGAGTGGTATAGGTCGGTGCTGGAAAAGAATATAGGTGGGATGAATGTAGGACACGGCGTTGGTAGTGTGCTATGCGCGCGCTGTGCAGCCCGAGGAGGTCTCGCGGGGGTAAGTCTGTCGGACTCGGGCTCGTTGGCCAGCTGCAGGTGTCTTGGGTGTAGCAGCTGCCGGTATAGACGCGTAGCTGCAGTGAGATGTCCGTCCAGGATATGCTGGGTGAATGGATCGGTTGCACCACGCAGACGCAGACACAGCTTCCCTCCACGCCCAGCTCTTTTGTTTGCCCGACACTCCCTTGGTGGTGCGCAAGCCGTATTCGCTATGCACTGGTAGGAAGACAGCAGGAGTAGCCTTTGGCCTTGGTGCCAGTAGTAGTCTTTGGCGGGTGTCTGCAAGGCTGTCTGGCATCTACCCGCACGTGCTGCGCATCATAAAACTCTCCCTGTACCAGTTGGACACAGACGATGCGAGAGCCGGGGCGGTGGTAGAACTATTCTAACGTTAGTGCATCGGGGTGTTGCGCAACGCTCCCTCCAAACGATTATTATTATAATATATGTACACGCCCACGAACGAGCATGGCCGAGATGCACACCACAGAACGATGGAGCGGCGCGCAGTTGCCACCAGCAACAATCCCAGCAGTTTGAAACCAACAATGCATGGGTCGCCGTTTCACCGCGTGCCAGGGGAAGGGGATGGTGTTCGCACCAGGCGGTGGCGGTGATGCGCTCCCTTGGCGCCGGCATCTCTTGCGCAGATCTCACAACTCTTACTCCAACTACTACAATGCTCATGTCCAACCCGTCTGTCAGCAGACCGCATCTCCATTCACTCGCACTCTGAACAACTCCCGCAGTCGCACTTCAGGACATGCCAGCCGCCGACTGCACACAGCTGTAGAGAACCGCTACAGCGTGCGTCGTCCGGCAGTGCGTTGACTGTATGCGCTGTGGTACGGCATATCTGGTGATTGTCCTCCCCGCCTGCGAAGAGGTCAGGATTCGGAAGGACAGAGCAAAGCGCAGAGAACACCATTCGCTCCGATACGCTGGTTTGCGAGACGCCGGATGTCTCTGCAGTCGGCATTGCCCCAGAAAGGGGAGGCTCTCCTGCGTTGGTGCTGCACCAATGCAGGAGAAGCGTGAAAGACGATTTCTGCCTCGATTTAAGCTGCGACGAAAGACAGTCAGCCGATGTTACTGTACCTGGACCATCATCATCAATGCCACCGATCCTTCGCAAGAATGGTCTCACAATGACTTGCATAGGACACTTCAGCCGCGACGATTGCCTGCACACTTCAGGGCAATTGCCTTGCGGGACGCATCGCTTCGAGCAAAATGGCTGATGCTGCCCAAAGTTGCAACATGCCTACAATGCGGTGCTCTTGCTCTCGACATGTGCTTGCATCCTGCAGGCACAGTCTACATGCAGTCAGATCTTGCTTTCGCTAACCTGCATATGACATCCCGTAAGACGCAAGACCTTCAAATACGCTTGAAAAGATGCAATAACCGTCTATGAATAGCAGGAAACGACAAGAAGCCCCTTTGCTGAACGGATGATAAGAGTTGAAGTCGAACGCTCACATACTCATGCATACTCCTCATCCTACCCAAGCCGCTGGGTACGGCACGGTGGTTTTCACGGGATGTTGATCCCTCCTACGCCGACCCGGGAACGCCTATGGTCCGGATTGGTTTTGCGCAATGCCCGAAAGTGGTAGACTGATGTCACATGGCAGTTGTGAAGTCCATGTTCTTTGCTTGAATGAGAATCTGGCGCAGCTCTATCAAAATGCGCACCGGCCAATCGAGAGAGGTATACCTGCGTCCGAGACAGCCTACTAAATGTCTCGAGCTAGCGAACACTGCACCCGAAGAACACCACCGCTCCGAGATGGAGTAACGGCTGATTGGAAAGACAATTGCGGGGACCATTTGTGAAGTGCTGCTCTCGAGACACATCGCTTTCTGCGTTTACACTGCACACTGAATCAGTGGGCCTTCATAACTGGAACCTAAACAAGGGGGGGTTCTGTCAGAGCAGGCTGTTGTGGAGACTGACAATCAATGGGATGATCTTGCGCCATGCCTTGCTTAGGCGGACGTTCCAGCTTTGAGCACGGATGTTACGAAGGCCAAACATTGAGGCGAGCGCATGCATTCATCCTTGCAGCGATCAGGCTAACAAGGTCAGTTGACAAAATATTCGAGACTTCATCTCAACATTCCCATGTAATCATGATTTCCGCAAGTCGACGATATCTCCTCAAACCCGAACAACCCGCCAGCCAATAATAGTCGCCTCGCGATGTCAGTATCGAATCATTGACCCACTTGAAAAGAATAGAGTCGCAACCGAAAATCTGCTATCGATCTGGCCGTGAGTAGCAGTGCCGCGTGTGTATTAAAGGAATACCGCGCCAGTATGGATTAGTGGTGCCGGTGTATGGACAAGATGGTCCCAAGATCACACAGTCCTGCCTACTGACATATTCCTCATGTGCTTCGAAAGGAATTTATCGACAATTCGAGCGTTCGAAGAATGACCAGTTCTCGGATGAGAAGATGGACTTCTTGTTGATCAGGCTATCTTCGATTCTGTCGGGCAGTCACAAGCAAGGGTGCTCGGAAGATACTCCTGCCAATTGATCCTAACCTTCTTGCTCCAACCGCAATATCGTGGTTATGAGCGATCGAGAAACGTTAGTTTTTACGACGGCAAGCCTTGGGGCAGCAAATTAATGCTTTTTGCAAACAAGTTGACATGGATAGATGGCTATCCAGATCTGACGGAGGGCGCTTCTGAGCCTATTCCTCTCGAAGAGCGAGAACCTTTTTTGGCGCGCGCAGGGTCGGCATTTCATTGAGTGCATCCGCACTGGGAACAGCCCCATTTCTGATGTGCTCGAAGGCATGTCTGTCGTCAAAGTCCTAGACGCAGTGACGCCAGCAATTCGCCGGCCGGACCGATCTTTGCTCTCAAACAGGGGACGTCGATTCACAAGCAGCACATGGCTTCCCCTCTGGCTATCATCGATCTCAAAGCCCAGCAGAAGAGTGTCTTGGAACGCTGCATCGGCAAGTTGACCACTCTAACGACCACGAAATTCTTTCCTATCTGCCAACCCACTTGGGTGCTATGGCGATGGCTCGCGAGCAAGCTTCGTTCAATCCATCAGCACGGAAAGGAAGAACACAAGTATGACCACGAACAGCCACTTGGACACTTCGCAGGCTGCCATTCTGCTCAGCAAGCTCGAGAAGTATTTTCAGAGGAACTGGAATTGGAACTACGACAGCAAGTTTCCGCAAGATCTGCGTATTTCCTCAAAGGTATTCCGGGAGTCCTTTCTGCTTGCACCACACGTTCAGAGGATCGAGAAGCAACTTGAGCGACCGAAACATCATTCATGACCACCATACATCAACCTCGCCCGCTACACGCGCAAACTCCGTATAAGAATTTTCCCAACTCTTGAAGAAAGTTATCTAGTAGCGGCCAGAGAAATTCCAAGCCTGCCCCTATATCCACACATCTCAACGAAGAATTACAAAAGCCATTTAAGAATTCATTCTATACTCACAACCTTTACTAGCAATAAACGAATAACACTAGAACTTACTTATCCGGTTATTCGGCATCCTCCTCCTATAAGTACCTAGGTCCCGAACTTAAAAAGGCCTAGCTATTAAACCTGCCCTACCTTATCCTAGACAAATATTCTATCCCCTAAAATTCAAACAAATACAAATAGATCTACCGGTAAAACTCGCAGCCGTAGTCTACTATATATATCTACGTACTAAAGTAACCGAACCGAACTAGTATTAGGGCTAAAGAGGCTATACGTAATTAGTATATAACTAGGCTAAGTAAAGCTAGGGTCTTAGTGCCTTAGGCAGGGCTTGGCGCTTGGCAATAGGCTAACTTGCCTGCCTTCCTCCCTCTCCTTCTAGCTCTTTATCGAATACTACTTATACCTACTACTACCCTATCTACCTACTAATATACCCTTCTTATATAGTATTCGATCTACCCTTTAAGGGCAGTAGCTAGATAGTCTGTATTTTAAGCTTTTAGCAGTATAGCCCCGAAAACCGTTAATCTAACTATATTACGCCCGAAGAACGGGACCTATACGTACTATTCTATTAAAACAACCGTACTAATTATTAAGCAAGGCCTTCTATACGGCCTATTATACTAAATTAATCGCACTAAGCCGATATCTACTAATTCCGCTATATCCGTATCTTAGGGGCCTATAATATATTATCGGTATTACCCCTTTGTTAGACCGCTATACTAGTGCGCCCGTTTACTAGCGTCTTACGCTGCGACAAAAGATCGGAAGTATCCGCGCTTAATAAGCACAGATCTCGGGCGCACTTATAGGCTAGAAGTTACGTAAGTCTTAGCGCCAAGCCTTAGCCTGCACCTCTAGACTCTAATACGCGCTTCCCTCTTCTTAGCTGCGGCCCCCGCAGCCTATAACGTTATACCCCGCACCCTTATATGTAGCCGGGCAACGAACGTCTTCTTAGCATACCCCGTACCCGAACATACAGCTAGGCAACGCCTTAGCATACCCTATACTCGAGGTAGCTAATTAAACAACTGTCGTAATCTGAACTTGTATATACGACGGTATAGCGACGTTTTTTTAACTGCCTATAAGTCGACCCCTCTAAGGTAGGTACGCCTATAGCAGAGTCGCGCGCCTAAGGCAATTAGGCGCCTCCGAAGCCGCGTCTACCGAGGATTAGCCTAGTCGGCTAATAAGCGTACGCCGACTCGCCGAGAATCGAACGCGCGACTGTTGAACCTATAGACCGTTAAGCGCGGATACTATATTAGACCGCTACACTAGTGCGCCCGTTTACTAGCGTCTTACGCCGCGACAAAAGATCGGAAGTATCCGCGCTTAATAAGCACAGATCTCGGGCGCACTTATAGGCTAGAAGTTACGTAAGTCTTGGCGCCAAGCCTTAGCCTGCACCTCTAGACTCTAACACCCTTATAATAGCCGGCTTATTACGAAGTAATAACAACCGTACTACCGCTAGTAGCGCTAGCAACGATAACGCTAGTAGTATAGTACCTACTAAAGTGCCTACTAAAGCACCTACTAAGGTGCCTACTAAAGAGCCTACTACTAGGCCTACCGAAGAACCTATAGTTCTAGGTAACGACCTAGAGTTGCCTATTAACGATATACTTAATAAAATTATTAATCGACGATATAGCTAACTAGCCTTTAGCCCCTAGCTAGTAGCGAGACTTTAAGAAGCTACCTAAAACAGGCTCGCTACTCTACGTTAAGAATAATAGCTAAAGGACAATCTCCTCGAAATTCGCCGCCTTTAGGGAGCCCTAATAACTAATACTAAGCCGATAGTAGGGCCTTCCTTACTATTAGTCCTAGTCTAGAAGAAGGATACTAAACTTAAGGACTATACCGTATTTAATAGCTCTAGTCGAAAGCAATATAATAACTATATTCGTAACTATAAGCTTAACTAGCGAAATATACCGAGGGCCCTTCTAGACGACTATTTGTTAGTCGTCTATGCTATATAGTATATTAATAGTAACCCTAAGCGTATATAGGATAACTATTTTGATTCCCTTTACGACTAGACCGCTATTTAATAGCAGGATTATAAGACTATTATACTAAATACCCTTAGCAACCCTATATTACGCTAGTAGTACGCCTAAGACTAATACCTACGTACTAAACAAAAGGCCGACTAAACCTCTCGATCCTTCGAGGCCTATCTAAAGACCCTTAAGGACGACTTGCTACCTAAGACCGACTCTATCTAGATATCTAAGATACGACCTAAACTAAGATAGGAACTAGTCCTTAAATTAGACCGCCGCCGTATATTCGAACAGGCTAATCTTATACGCATTTAATTTATAGTCGAAGTAGAGATAGCTAAACGAGCTGTTTAGCTCTAATAACGGTTAGAATCTAAGATACGCCTAGCTACCTATCGTAGCCGCGAAGGAAACTAAGGTTCCTACTAGAACAACAATGCTAACAATAGGAATAGTAATAACGACCGTAGAAGGGGCCGTAGCCGACGGCTATATAGAGGAGGCCGTAATAGGGGCCGTAGAAGGGGCTCGTATCCCTATAGTACTAATCGTTTAACTAATAATAGCAGTAATAGCGGCTATAGCAATCCCCTAACTAGATTGAAGTGCTTCAATTATAATAGTACTAGCTATCTACTAGGCTAATGCGACAAACCTAAGGACTAGGCCCGAATCGACCGTGCTACCGCTAAACACTAAAAGTACCTTTTAGCCGCTAACGCTACCCCTATCGGTCCTTCTAATTAGTCGAAAAAAGAGTAAGCGCCGCACTAACTATTAGCCTTATACGGCGTAAGACTATCGACATTATACTAGCTATTATACGTACCTATCTCGTAGGGGATATATATAGCAACAATTATAAAACTAAGGTTACGCTAGACCTAGGAAATTTAGTTAGCGCCCTTATTAGCTATCGCCTAGCTAAGCAATTAGACCTTCGACAATTGCCTAGGACTAACCTACTAACCCTTGCTTAGTTTAATAACGCTCGGCACTTAACTTATAGAGCCTACTATATTTATATAGCCCTAAGAGACGACCTCGGCAATAAGCGCCTACTAAACTTCCCCGCCTACGTAGTAGATATAAACAACCTATATAGGGGAGCTACTATTGTTATTAGCAACCCTGTTCTTAAGTACCACGCTATAGCTATAGACTTAGGCATTTAGAAGTAGCGATTTAGAATCGCTCGGAAAGAGGACATTAAATACATTAATATTAGCGAGTGCCCTAACGATATTAGGGTCCTGTTTATTAGCAACCTAATACCGGCCTCCGCCTTAGCTAATCCGACTACCGACCTACTCGGTAGTAATAACGATAAACCTATACCTCCTAATAGTATAGACCCTAATTAGCTCGAGCGCATACTAGAGCCTATTCGAGAGACCTATATTAATGTATTTAAACACTACTTAGCATCGATATTGCCTATATTCAAAGAGACGGATTATAAGATTAATATTATAGAGGGCAAAGAGGTTCCTTTTAGTCCCCTCTACAACCTTAGTAAGCGAGAGCTTACTATATTATATAAGTACCTAGAGGAAAACCTAGCTAATAGCCGCATTCGGTATAGTAACAGCCCTGCTAGTGCACTAATCCTGTTTGTTCTAAAGAAGGATAGTAGCCTACGGTTATACGTTAATTACCGTAGGCTTAATGCTATTACTATTAAAGACCGCTATCTACTTCCGCTTATTAATAAGACCCTCGATCGCCTTTCTAGGGCCTACTTCTATACTATACTAGATATTAAGGATGCGTACTATCGTATCTATATTCGTAAGGGCGACGAATAGAAGACGGCCTTCCGTACTCGTTATAGCTATTTTAAGTATTTAGTTATACTATTTAGGCTAGCTAATACCCCTGCGACCTTCTAGTCCTATATTAATCGGGCCCTATTAGGCCTATTAGACTACCTCTGCGTAGTCTATCTAGACGATATCCTAGTCTATATATACTTACCTAATATTGCGGAATATTAGGCCGCCGTACGTAAGGTGCTCGACCGCCTACGGGCCTATAGCTTGTATTACAAGCCTTCTAAATACACCTTTGCTACTAAAGAGGTATTATTCCTTGGCTTCCTTATATTAACTAAGGGTATTAAGGCTAATCCTAATCGGATTAAAACTATTACCGAATAGCCTATCCCTACGTTAATTAAGGAGCTATAGTCGTTCCTCGGCTTCGCTAATTTCTATCGTCGCTTTATTAAGGGCTATTTACGGCATATAATGCCCCTAACTAAGCTTACTAAAACCAAGGCCAACCTAACTAGAGAGTTTAAATAGACTAGTAGAGTATAAGCCGCTTTTAACGGCTTAAAGAAGCGCTTTACTAAAGTCCCCTTATTATACTATTTCGTACTAAGCAAGCAGATCCGCATTAAGACTAACGCTTTACAGTTTGCTATATTAGCTATTATATTACAATAGGCTAATAACAATTACTAGCACCCGATTGCCTTCTTCTTAAGGAAGATAATTAATACTAAGCGTCGTTACGAGACCTACGAGCAAGAGCTCTTAGCAATTGTAGAAGCCTTTAAGCACTAGCGCTATTATCTCGATAGTGCTTAGTACCCTATTTAGGTCTATACGGACTATAACAACTTCCGTAGGATTACGAAGGTTACTAGGGTTATAGGTCGATAGGCTAGATAGGCCGTCTACCTCGCTAGGTTCGATTTTAATATATTATATCGGCTAGGCGTAAGTAACCCTACTAATAGCCTATCGAGGCGACCTAATTACAATAGCGAGACTTAGCAATCTATTAATTCTTTGTTTCTAACCCTATAGTATAAGATTACTATAGCCCGTATTATTAATAAGTACGCGTAGGATAAGCGGCTTACCGGACTCCGCGATAGCTTAAAGCATATTAATGCTCTTACTATATTAATAGTGCGTATTAAGGACACAGATAGGAGAAGTTATAAT